TACCAATACTCATTAAAGATATCTCATTGGATTTTCATCAGCAATGACAATAGTTACTACTTTACCACTGGCATCCAAATTACATGAAGCTTTTCTGTGGGTTTCCTCTTGAGTCTCATCAGATTACACTTCACTGATTTATTCATACACAATTACATCTCTTTAAAAAACTTTTTTTGCCATAAAATCTTTGGTTTCATTTTTTCCAGCTTTATAGAGGTATAATTGACAAAATTGTAAGATATTTAAAGTGTACAATGTGATGATTTGATATACGTATATGTTGTAAAATGATTCCCTCCATCAAGTTAACACATCCATCATCTCACATATTTACCTTTTTTTTTTTTTTTTTTGGTGAGAACATTTAAGTTCTACTCTCTTAGCAAATTTCAATTATACAATACAACATTATTAACTATAGTTACCATGTTATACATTAACACTTAGACTGTATTCATCTTATACCTGAACGTTTGTACCCTTTTACCAACCTACCTTCCTCATTCCTACATTCTTGTCCCATCTCTTCCACTGACTCCTATTAAGACTTTGAATAAGACACTTAAGATTTCTAGTGTTCAATTTCTTCATTACAAAATCAAGAAGGTTAAACTCTTAGACTATTATTTTTGAAACGTTTTAAAAATATACCTCTTAAATAAATGTAAGTAAGCATGTGTCCAAAGATGTATTTAACTCATAAATGAGAGAACCAGCAAGATGGTAAGCCTCATTCAAAGAGAATTGAGGAGTGCCAAGTATTTACGTGGCTGGAAGAATGAATGTTTCAATAAGATTGCTAATATAGACACAAAATTGGTTAATATCCTGCAGCACAATAAAGCTATAACTTTTGGGGTTATCTTTTCTATGTGACAAAAATCATTAGCACTTCTACTGGACAAAATTCATTTCTATTACTATCAGTTTTCTACATGTTAAGATCTATCCTTTCAGAGTTGTACAATACCTGTACATTAAAAAACAATAAATACCAGTTCAACGAAAGGTGCACATTCCTGGAGAATCAGATAATCCCCAGGAGTGCCTGCTAGACACAACCCAGCAGGACACGGAAATGGCAAACAGTAATCTCTTTGTCTATTTCCAAGTTGTGGATAATTTTTCTTAACAGAACTAGGAGTCCTTTGAGTTTTAAAATTCTCCTATAGGAACCAGCGCCAAAAATGCAATGCCACCAAGATTACAACCCTAGTACACCACCAGTGAGCACACATTGACTAAGTTTATTCTAGTTAGGATTGCCAATTGTCAGTTTAAAACAGACTAATTGAAAGGCTAACTGTAGTGTCCTGATATTTATTGCTTCAAGGAAAGCTTTATAAAGGATGTGTCTCATCTTATCCTAAAATTAAGTAGTTAATTCAATAATTAATAAATATATATTAAGAGTCCATCATGTACCAGTCAAGGTTTTAGGATAAAACAGAGAAATAAAATAGATGAAGACTCCAGTCCTGATGGAGACTATATTCTTGTGGTGGGAAATTCCATATGGATTAAATATTTAAATATTAAATAACAATTAGAAGATAAAGGAAAGGATATCATTCATCAACTTGGGTGCAGAAGACATTTCTAGTCATAATTCCAAAACCAGAAACCATAGGGGAAAAAACTGATAGATTAGATTAGACCAGTGGTTCCCAGACTTGAGCGGGCATCAGAATCACCTAGAGGGCTGTTGAAGCATAGATTCCTGGCCTCACCCCCAGAGTTTCTGGTCCCGTAAGCGTGAGGTGGGCTGTGAGAATCTGTGTTTCTAACAAATCCCCAGGTGATGACAATGATGCTGCTCTGGGGATTACACTTTGAGAACCTGGATTAGATTACATAAATATTTTAAATATCTATATTGTCAAGATACTAAAAACAACATTAAAAGAAAAGCTACAACTGGGAAACCGGTAGCAACATCTGATCAATTAAGGGTATAAATTGGGAACATTTCATCCCTATTCTTGGAGTTGTTTTCTGTGAAAGGAGCTCCCTTCATGCAATTTGGGGCCTTTTTCTGCCCTTTCACTCATTCAGATTCTGAGGAGCTAGATCTGATTACCAAATGTGAGACTAATGGAGCATACACTCAGCTCCACTTTCTTTCCCTGGGGAGCCATGCTGCCGTCCATGAACACAGCAGACAAAAATCCCTGTGCCCTCCAGCACTTCCCCTCACATTCTGGAGGAGACGTTTATATTTTATCTTGACGGTATTTAGTTGATATTTAACAGATATAGATATATCATCCTACATCAATAAACATAAAAGCGATACTAGTATTTTTCCTAAATCTTAAAAACACAATGCAATAACATGTTTGCTTAGGTAATAGCTTCGACTCTGGTAATCAAATAATTGCTAAGAAGATGGGGAGAATAGAACACTCGCATAGCGTAAATTGATGAAAACTGCCTGGAGGGCAATTGGCAATAGCCGTCAATTTAAATGTATAAGCTGTGTAACTTCAAAGACTCTGGGGATTTAGTCTAAGGAATAAATAAAATAATTATGCAAAAATATATGGATATAGAAATGTAGATATTTATCATAGCCTTATTTATAATAACACAGAAAATTTGCAAAGTATTACATGTAAGGCATTGGACACTGGACATTTCCAAATTTGGAGTCATAAATAAATGGAATACTATATAGCCATTATAAGTAATGTAGACCTCTATTGACATAGAAAGATGCCTATTGGGTGAAAAAAGAAAAGAACATTATAAAATATTATATGTTATATAATTCTGTCTTGATCAGATAAAATTAGAAATAAGCAGCATTATATAGAGTATACACACACATTTTATATGTAACGTGACTATATGTATATACCTGTGACTTAAAGGTTTCTGTATCTTTAAGTGTGGTCTGATTTTTTGTTTTATAATAAACATGTATGTTTTTAATTTTTGTATTTCTTTTTAAAATATAATTTAAAAATATTTATTTAAAGAAATAAATTCATGCAACTTGTTAAAAAACATTAAACAATATATATATATTTTTTTGGGGGGGAGGAAGATCAGCCCTGAGCTAACATCCATGCTAACCCTCCTCTTTTTTTTTTTTTTGCTGAGGAAGACCGGCTCTGAGCTAACATCTATTGCCAATCCTCCTCCTTTTTTTTTCTTCCCCCAAAGCCCCAGTAGATAGTTGTATGTCATAGTTGCACATCCTCCTAGTTGCTGTATGTGGGACGCGGCCTCAGCATGGCCGGAGAAGCAGTGCATCGGTGCGCGCCCGGGATCTGAACCCGGGCCACCAGCAGCGGAGTGCGCGCACTTAACCACTAAGCCACGGGGCCAGCCCTAAACAGTATTTTTATACTCAGAAAAGGAAAGCTATTTTATATTTTGGAGGAATACTGAATATGAGTGTTTCTGATTGAATTGGCCTTTTTTGTTCTTACATTACATTCAACACATTTCAAAAAATGTATTTATTAATATTTACTCAAATCAGCATTTACCATAAATAAGTAAATCAAATCAGCAGAGGTAGAGGAATAATATGTGATCTCTGGTCTCAATCTTACATTTTTATTGAAATTTATGCAAACATATTCCTCTTGCAAGTTAATTTAATGCATTAAAATCACAGGAAATTTCTCTTTTTAGCTAGTAAGACTAGGACAGAAATTCCAAAGTAGTTCCCATAAACATAATCCAATCAAACTAATTATTTTGAAATGCTAGACTTAAAGAAAATATCCCTAGCCCATATGCAAAGTAGGAAAAAATCATCTATGTTATATAGTTCTTCTGTATAGAAGTCAGTTTTCTTGGGTTGCTATGAGAACCACCTACAGACCATGTAATAACACTGAATATAAGGCTCCATTAGTTAATTTGGTGGTCTAGGGTTCCCTAGGTCCAGAAAGTTAAGACTGGTTTGAAGAGCAGCTAAGAGTGAGCCCTGCCGGCCTGGCCTCCTTCTGCAGGGGTTCCTGAGTTACTGTAATTGCTGCTCCACTCCATGTGGGGTCAGGAGGCCTGAGTTACTCACCAGGTGTTTACGGCACAGCCTGGGGCTCATAGCAACATCTGGAAACAATTTCTTGTCCAAAGTAAAGCTTCCTTATGACCACGCAATTTTTAAATGAGTGTTGAAAGTGAACAAAAGAGAAAGAAAAATGCTCCCTCTCCGCTTAACCAAGTTGTCATCTGCTATATGTGGTTTGTTTATATTGTATAAAATCCACTTCCCAGGCAAGAAAACTAAATGTCTTCACCCATTTCATATTTTAATTTGGAGGTAATTATATTCAGCCTGCCCACTTATCAACCGTTTTACACCTTAGCTTTCTTCTCTTTGGAAGTCTTTGTTGAAAATACCCCCACGTGATCTTTGTTGTGGAGACTTGGTTTACATTTCTTTATATTTGTTTGTTTAATAACATTTCTTGATCTTTTTCAGACTTGGCTTACATTTCTTTATTTTTAATAACTTATTGATCCTCCCTTGGCTATAAAAATAAAAATGCTTAACATAGAAATTTTCAAAAGATAGCAAATGTAAAGAAAAAATTTAAAATACCCACAGTTCCATCAGCCAGAGGTAACTGCCTCAAGAAATGTATCTGTAGCAGGTAAGAATTTTAGTTCCCAGCTCTAGTGTGTGGGAAATAGAGCCAGGCCCCGCTCCCTGGCTCTTGGCACACCAATCACACTGACCGTCTTTCAACGCATCTTCCTTGGTTTGCTTCCTGCCTTGCACACGGTGTCAGGCCATATCCTCTGCCTAGGACACTCTTCTCTACTCTGTTTGCCCTCTGAATTCCTGCTCATCTTTCAGATTTCAGTTTAAGCTTCACTTCCTCTGAGAAGCCTTCCTTGACTCACTCCGCCCTCCCCAAACTAGGTGAGATTCTCTATCATAGGCTCTCATAGCATAGCATACGCGTCCTTCTTAGTACTTGCCACCCAGGCAATTTAACATGTGTTTCTGTGATTATTTGACTAATATCTCTTCCAATAGACTGTCTTCCTTCAGAAAACAACTAAATAACCCATTTATATAGGTATAATAAAGTTTTCTACTTCTCTAAAAAAAAAAAGTGCAGGGTCTCTGTCTGGTTTTGCTCACCGCTGTACCTTCAGCACTCAGCTGATCTTCAATCATATTTTATTGAATTGAATTTAATATGGCCCAAGTCCCCACTGCTGGAGCTGGAAGGAAAGTGAACCTGAGGCTATTATTGAGATTTCCTCCCGTCTCCATGGAACCATGCAAGAACCTGAAACTTAGGAGGAGGAGCCAGGGAACCTGGTGGATCCTTGGACTGTGGGGTTATTGTCCTCATCAAGCTCAGAGGGTACCTGTGCCGCATCTGCTTTGGCGAGGCTGCCCCAGGCAGACTACCTTCCATTGACAGCAGGTTTCCATCTTGCTACCCACCAGAGGGACAAAGTGTCAAAAGGGGATGGTTCTCCACCCTCCCACCTTCCCCACCCCTGTCCTCAACCTCTCTTCTGACTCTGAGGAAACTTAAATTTCCTCCTAGATCCAGCTGCTTTCCTCTCCTTGTTCTGGGAACTAACCTCCATCGTCTCCTGTCCTGGGGTGAATCCTCTTCTATGGGTCTTTAGAAACCAATTTTTGTGGAGTGCAGTTAGGGAAAGAACAGGCTAATACTAAGGTTTTGTTTTGTTGGTTTGTTTTTAGTAACTCTGTTATACAGGAGTGTGTATTTTGAAGCAAAATGGGGGCCATATTGTCTATATTCTTCTATAATTCATTTTCCTGATTTACTAAATTGTGTTTCCCTATATCCTTAAATATTAAGAATATGATTGAGAATATAGAATTCCCTAGGAAGATGTCACCTCATTTATTTAACATGCCCCTTTATGGTAGGATATTCCTGGTTCCTTAGCATAGATTGCAGGATCCTTTGTGCCTGGCTCTAGCCTGTCTCCTGCTGACTGGCCTCTCATTCTGCTCTGCTATCACACCAAATCGTAACGCCCAGGACACGTCGTGCTTTTTCACCTCCATCCCTCAACTCCCAGAGTTTCTGCAGCTGGAGCACATTTTTCCTGGCAAACTCCTACTTATCCTTTAAACTGGCATCATCTTCCCCTAATGCTTTCCCTGATCCACTGCTCCGTCTTCTTGGTGCCCTCCCTCCGGGCTCCCAAAGCAGCCTCATCATGCCACTATCGTTGCACCAGGCACGTTTTCTGGATTTATCCTCTGTGAATGTTTCAGTCCTCTTTGCTAAATGTTAAGGTCTTTGAGGGCAGGAAGCATGGCACATATAGATGCGCCATAGTGCTCCTGGCACATAGAGATGTTCCAAAAGATATATTGAAGAGACACAGATTGCAGCAAGCATTTTTTTTTTTCCTATCGTCTTGCTTGCTTTTTGGATAGGCACAGCTTCTTAGGATGGTTTTCAACTTACCTGTCCTGGAATTGCCCTTTGTTTCACTCAATAATAGGGATTTTTAACATTCTTTACCTTATAAATGCAATGATGCCCATTCTCCTTGGTGTTGACAAATATTTTACAATTTTGGCCTTTTTATTTCTTTTGCCAGATAGGCTATAGTTGTAGCTGCTTCTTTACTGTAAGCAGACATAAGATGAGGATACCATGTTTTATGGACCCTGGCATAACTCAATCTTCCAGCTCTCTTTCTGTCCTTTTCAGGATTCTGTCCTTATCTGCCAAGTACCCATACTCTTCCTAATGATAACAAGAGTCTTTCCTTCAATGTGTTCTTGTAGAAATGCCACAAGACTTCAAACTTATGAGGTCTTTCCCTGTTTGTAAAATAATTTGGTAACTCTCTCCCAGATGCTTCCCCTCTCCTAGAAACATGAGATTTCATATTCAAGTTCTGTGATTAGATATCTAGTTCCTCAAGTTCATGCTGATAATTTTGAATTTAATCTGTTTCATGTTATTGTTTCCAAAGTAAATTTGAGATTTGCTTTGAGGACAAAGGACCAGGTCAAGGATAGCATTTCTTTTGTATTTAATATAGTGCTGGCATACGTTTGGTAAATAAATACTACATTAAACTTGGGTTAGGATAGTTTTTAAACAGCAACATAAGGTTCTTTTTACCATAGACAGATTTAGCTCCACTTGATGATAAAAATCTTTGCTTGTAAGACTCACTCGGAGCAGGATACTTGGTCATTCAACCACCTTTATTTTAGACTAAAATTAAGGAAACATTAGTGTAGACCGGGGGGAGAATGATAGTAGCTTGGGCTAGGGTGATGGAGGTGGTGAGAAGTGGAAGGATTTGAGAAACTGAACTGAGATGGATTAGCTGAGGGTGAGGGAAGGAAAGAGCGATTCATGCCTTGCATAACTGATGGATAGCAGTTCATTTCCAAAGAGATTTCTAGGCCAGAACCTCCTATTGCCTAGATGATCTGCTGGATGCCACTACCAATTTTTCCTCTTTGAATTCCTCTTTTGTAGCTGTCATGGAGATCCTACTCTTGGTTAACGTTTTCCTACTTCTGGACATAAATTACATTTTTAGTTACAATCAAATTCCAATTCTTCTTTCCCCTGTTTACCTCAGGTCACTATGATTGAATTTGGGTATTCTTGACAGTCTTCCAGCATTTAAGGACAATCATTTGGGATATGCCATTCTTCAAATCGGTGATCTTTGCTCTTCTAATGCTTTCTAATTTCATTCTTAGAGGGAAACCTAGTGAAAAGAGTGAAAAACCTAGTGATAAGAGCCCCACCACATCTTATATGCCAAAGTAAATTTAAATAAATTAATGAATTGATTTTTTTTTTTGTGAGGAAGATTAGTCTGAGCTAACATCTGTTGCCAATCCTCCTCTTTTTGCTGAGGAAGATTGGTCCTGGGTTAACATCCATGCCCATCTTCCTCTATTTTACCTATTTTGCCTGCCACAGCATGCCTTGATAAGCGGTGAGTATGTCAGTGCCAGGTATCTGAACCTGCGAACCCCGGGCCACTGTAGCGAGGCACGCGAACTTAACCACTAGGTCACCCTGCCGGCCCCAAATTTAACCGAGTATTCTTAAGAAAATAGATCGAATACTCTATTGCTGGAGGTTAGCTTTTTTTTTTTTTTAATGAGGAAAGATCAGCCCTGAGCTAACATCCATGCCAATCCTCCGCTGAGGAAGACTGGCCCTGGGCTAAACATCTGTGCCCATCTTCCTCCACTTTATATGGGAGGCCACCACAGCATGGCCTGACAAGCGGTGCGTCGCTCCACCCCCGGGATCCCGGGCTGCCAGCAGCGGAGCGCGCACTTACCCACTCCGCCACACGGCGGGCCCCTGGAGGTTAGCTTTTTTTTTTTTCATTTTATTTATTTATTTATTTATTTTTTGTGAGGAGGACCAGCCCTGAGCTAACATCCAATGCCAATGCTCCTCTTATTTCTGAGGAAGACTGGCCCTGGGCTAACATCCGTGCCCATCTTCCTCTACTTTACATGGGACGCTGCCACATCATGGCCTGACAAGCAGTGCGTGGGTGTACGCCCGGGATCCGAACCAGCGAACCCAGGGCCACTGCAGCGGAGGTCGGGCACTTAACCGCTTGCGCCGCCAGGCCCGCCCCGAGGTTAGCTTTTTAAACTTAGATCAGAATAACTTAAACAGGAAAGAACATTTGGTTACACAAAAATGACTAACTTGTTTAGATAAAACCAAACAAAAAAGATCTCTCCTTAAATGGGAAAAATGAAAACTATTTTGAGGATGTATGACAAATAAAAGGCACATAACTTGATTATATAAAGAGTTCATATAAATCAATGTGAAAGCCATTAATATTCATTCAGTGGCTAAATGAGCCAAGACAGGAACAAAGCTAATTCACAAATGGGGAAATAAAATAATAAACATGGAAAAAATGTTCTGAGTGATCCTCTCCCCCTTGTCTGTTTTCTAAACCCTCTGTAATGTGTGTATGTTGCTTTTGTTGTTGACCTGATTGTAGGCGGCCAGGGACAGCAGCCTGTTGTTGGCTCTATAATCAGAGATCAAAGAATTGGATGGAGTCTTTGAAGGGAAACATGGCTTAATAGTTTTAAGAAGTGGGTTAAGCTGCATTTTAAAATTGCGCTATCCAGGGCCAATTCTGGGTGAAATTGTGAAACTGGCTCTGATTTCCTCCTCTTTCGCAGCTTCCTCCAAGGCTGTTTTGGGGGTGAGGACTCAGATCCTTAGCTATGTCTTCTTAAGAGGCTCCCTTCTCTAGCGCTTCAATTTGCACCCCAGAAATGACCTAAATTCATTCACGCCAGAGTTTACTGTCCCTAGAAATATCTATGTTTTATTTGTTATTTTAGGCTTGATCTAAATTCACAAATGAAATCCTAACGCGGAATTAACTTCATGCCTCATTCAAGGGGTGAGTGCGAGTTTCCCAGGACAGGAGAAAACTTCCCACCAAGAGGTACGCAAACTGCCTTGGAAACAGGTGAGTCGTGGTTGCCTCGGCTAATTGTTCTTAGAGGAATAATAACAAAAACTAACGCAGAAAAGGTAAAACGTAACATTGTAATTTACAAATTAAAAGTTCAAAAGTCTTAAAAGGATGGGGATTTGGGCTTCCTCCACTTTCCTTGTTGGTTCGCGACCTTAGGAATTCCCGGGTGAAATCCGAAACTGGCCTTACAGAGAGAGCAAGGAAAAACTAAAGAGGCAGGCAGACCACTCCAGGTTGGTAGATGGCAGTTTTAATAAGCAAGGGAGCTTTCATAGACTTATCTTGCGTGGCTGCAAGACAAGCAGACCTCCACGCCCGCTGGTCAGAATCTTAAGAGTTTAAATACTTTATATAGAGGCCTTAAAGAGGTTCAGCACATATCCAGTCCAGATGGTTTCAAAAACACCTTGCTGTCTCGAGGCTGCCCCCTTCAAGTGGCTCCCAGTATTGACACAGTGGGCGGAAGGTACATTCCAAGGACAGGCGAGAGGGTGAGGAGCCTTCTACTGCCGGAGACCATTTTAGCGGGTCAACCGGCGGTTACGTCTTCTCCATGACCTCCTCCAACGCTCTCTAAGCTGGAACGTTGTTACGTGCCTCTGATTCTGTTTAAGTGGCAAATATGCCGGACCTAGGAAACCTGAAGCGGGGTCGGGGAAGGCTATGAGAATGCAGGCGCCTCCCTCCTGTGGGGCTCCGGGGAAGACACCCCACAGGTCTTGCACCGCTCTCTCCGCGGAAGACTTGCAAGGACGTGCCAGGTGAGGCGCCCGAGCCCTGCGCGGCGCTGCCTCTGGAAGGCGCCCGCACTGGACTTCCGGCGCCGGCCTTAGTCTCTCCAGGCACTTCCGTCTCAGCTTCCAGTCCGCGCGGCCGCCGGAAGCCGAGGCCGCTTTCTTTGTCACGTGTCCCGCCGGCCGCCACGACAGCAGCATGGCGCGCGCAGAGATGCGGGCGGAGCTCGAGCAGCGGCTCGGCGCCCTCGGCGTCCGCACGGAGGTCGTGGAGCACCCCGAGGTGAGGCGCTCCCGCCGGGACAGCCCGGCTGGAGAGGGTGGGCTCCGCTGCAGCGTCTGTCGGGCGAGGCCGCTAAGACCATACGTCCCAGGGGTAATGTGCCGCAGAAATGTCCGTTCCAGGGCACTTCCCGCGTTCGAGTCCGAGGGGGACCCGTCAGGGACATCAGAGGCCTCTCGACTCGGTACTATGATGTTACTGTGAGAAGACTTGTTTTCCTCTTGGAGTGTTTCGATCACATTTCATGTTGAGAACTAGCGCAACATATTGAGAACTTGCGCATCTTAAATTGGTGTGGGATGTTGGTGTGTCCACTTTATGTGTAGATAAAATAAGTTACCAGCAGTAAACCGTCTCTGCAGTGGCTGTGATGTATCAGGCATCATGCATACAGCAGGACACCAAGGTTAGAGAGTTTGATATTTTTACCATGATTTAGTGTATGGATTTGAAGATTTATTTGCAAATATTTAATGGAACCAATGTGTAACTTGAGAGGTGCAGAGACTTTTTACCCAAGGCTTGAGTTAACAGCTAATGATAATAGCTAAATACGGTTGATCTTCAAAGGGAGAGAAATACATTAAAAGTTGTTTTCCTCACCTCGACAAATCAGAACTGTATCATATTCTCTGACCTTCCTCCAGTACAGTCCACACTCTCCATCCCTTCTCTACCTATGTATATCGCCAGCTGTTCTGATCTTTGTTAGTCCAGGGTCTCATTATCTCACCCTCACTGTGGTTATGTATATATCTGTAGAGTAGAGGTTGTCACATGGTCTGGATGTAATAGAATGCTAAGGAAGAGGAGTCTTGGGCTGCTATAAACTTTAAATACCATTAGTTACAAAAAATTTTTTTTAGGAATGTGAGGGTTTGGCTAGCACACTGGAATAAAGAACTGGCCTAAGAGAAACTGCTGGAGGTCCCCTGAGATGAGGAATTGAGATGGCAAAGGCTTATAATTATTTGGTAATTGGCTGGGAATGGGTCTCTACCAGTGAAATCCAAAGCACTCAGTACCCCTTAACCTTGCTGTTTTCACCCAGCAAGCAAAATACATATAACAGTGCACGTGTGCAGTGTGTGTATATACATGCATATTAATTTTACACTTCTCATGGGATATTTTACAGGTGTTTACAGTTGAAGAAATGATGCCTCATATCCAGCATTTGAAAGGAGCACATAGTAAGAACTTATTTCTTAAAGACAAAAAGAAAAAAAGCTATTGGCTGGTGACAGTTCTTCATGACAGACAAATTAATTTAAATGATCTTGCCAAGCAGTTAGGTGTTGGGAGTGGAAATCTGCGATTTGCTGATGAAACAGCCATGCTAGAAAAACTGAAAGTTGGTCAAGGCTGTGCCACACCCTTGGCACTCTTCTGTGATAATGGAGATGTGAAATTTGTTCTGGATTCTGCTTTTTTGGAAGGTGGACATGAAAAGGTGTATTTTCATCCAATGACCAACGCTGCAACCATGGGGTTGAGTCCTGAAGACTTTCTCACATTTGTGAAGAAGACAGGACATGATCCCATAATACTAAATTTTGATAAAAACAACTAATTGGGCTAATGTTTACAATATATTTATTTCTGAAAACTGTTTTTCTTATTTGTAATTTATAAAAAGCATTAAATTGATGACTGTATTTAGCACCTTGGTTTGGTGACTACCTAAATCATTTTAGGAGGAATATTTCATCGTAAAGCATCTGTTTTTAAAAAGATGTACTGAGGTAGTTTTAGTAGCTCAGAGATTCCACTTCCTCATTCCCCATGACAGTTACTCATTAAGGAATGCCTTCAACAATTAAGAATAAATTAACATCAAAACTAAGATTAGTTAGCTAAGATTAACTATCTTACATCTTTAGATAATTATCTTACATCTTTACATGTTTATTGTACTTGAAAAAAGCAAGTTGCAACAACAGCATATATAAATTATATATATGATAGTGTACATACAGGGAAAATATCAAAAGGAATATAGGAATATATTAAACTGTCGATAGTAATTATCTTTGGGGAATGGGAATCCTCAGCAAGATAATTAAAACAAACATGGGGGCAAGGGCAAAAACTTTCCATTACTGGGTGTTTTTGTTGTTAAACTAGTGATTTCTTTTTTCTCAGTGAAAAATAAGCTAATTACCTTTCTATAAAAGTATATCTTTAGAAAATTTTAATCTAGAAAAAACAACATAGGGATGGAAAATGTTATGTCATAATCATTATACTTAGAAAATTACATTTTAAAACTCAATAGCAGGATATACATAGGCCATTAAGAAGGATTTGTTTAGTCTTTGTTCAGAGGTTAGAAATGTGAACATACTTGAACAAGTTTCTTTTGTCCTCTAAGCTGTATTAAATTTTACTCATCCCCTTTCAATTATGGCATCTGAAACAGTATAAGAACCCGGGATAATGTATTGTCAGTTGTCATATAGAAGCTAGTTAAAAAATAGCATGAGGAAAATTGACATACTTTTCTCACCTCATTTAAATTCAGACAAAACCCTTCATCAGTCGAAGGTCTGAGATCCACTAGGCTACAAAAATAGTATAGAGGTCTCCTCATGAAAATGCTCATATGTTTTCTTCGTATAATCAAATGGGATATTTGTAAGATAAACATATTTTCCTAAGTGTGATCACTCAAAAAATAATTTCCATCTGGTAGAGACATTGTACTTAATTTGTACCAATTGGTGTTACCAACAGGCAAAATAAAAGTAAAGACTTGTTGTTTCTTGATACATATGATTAGAAACTACGTGTCTACTTGTGGCAGAATTTTTATAAAATATAGACTAGATTTAAGAGATGTGGAGTTAGTAAGAAATATTTTCCATAAATGATAACCTTATTCTGGGATGCCATGTTAGTTTTTACCTATTCTGTACTATATCTCTAAGAAAGAGGCAATTTTAGGTTGCTTTGTATTCAAAATGAAGGTTTAATGAATAGAATCAAAGACACTGAGAACCTTAGATAACTGGTTTAAAACTACCCTCCCTCCCTCATGGTGAAAACAGGCCCAGAAAGACGGATCTGCCCAGGGACACAAGGCCAGTTGCTGTCTCTGACATTATGCCTCCACAGACAACAGGTGAAAGTGAAAGAAATTGATTTGTACAATCTATTATTGTATTTAAACCTATTTTGGGATTGACAGAAATGACAGACTCTCTTTTCTTTCTCCCAAAACCTCCAATACTAATCCCAAAATGATTAGAAAAGAATCATCTAAATGAGGTTATGGGTTATGACTGAAAATAGGTTTTGCAGGGCAAAGGAAAAGGAATAACACTTTGCTAAAATTGTATGTTAGAATTTTTTTTTTTTTTTTTGGTGAGGAAGATCAGCCCTGAGCTAACATCTATTGCCAATCTTCCTCCTTTTTTTCCCTTTTTTGCCCCAAAGCCCCAGTAGATAGGTGTATGTTGTAGTTGCACATCCTGCTAGTTGCTGTATGTGGGACGCGGCCTCAGCATGGCCGGACAAGCAGTGCGTTGGTGTGCTCCCGGATCTGAACCTGGGCTGCCAGTAGCAGAGTGCGCGCACTTTACCGCTAAGCCACGGGGCTGGCCCTGTATGTTAGAATTTTTAAATGATTACTACTTGTTATAAAAACACCTCTTTGCTTTATTTCTTTTTATATCAGTTCGATAAGTGAATGTTAAACTTAATTTTTTTTAGGAGAAATAAAGTTAAAAACTAAAATGAAAAATAAGGTTTTTAAAAAGAAATCAACCCAACAATGGTGTCTCTTTTGTTATAAACTGGATTTCTGTGACTGATATCAGGTATTGCCAAGTAATAAACATTTTGCCATATAACTCCCAATCCCTCAGTAGCATTACTTTTAAAGGAAATGTTACAGCTTTTATATTATTTGATTTCATATTTAATAACAGTTATAAGTACAATGGCAAACACTGAAAAAGAGAACCCTATTAGTAGGAAAGAAAAAGACAATTTAAAATCAGGTTTTGTTAAAGGGTGTTATAAGTGCAACTTTATCCATAAGCATTCCTTTTAAGGCATTTTCATTGTTGTCCAAATAGCTCAACATGTACATCAAGGTTTATATTATAAAATGGGCTCCTTTTGGATTCATTCAAGGCTTAAAGAAAAAAATACATCTCAGGACTAGGTGTAGTGGAAAAGAAAAACACAAAAATTCACCACTTTTCTCATAAAATGTAACTTAAAATACAAAAGTCATTTAGCGTACATTATTACTCCTCATTGTAATTCCAGATTTGGTACAATATCTTTTTCACTTCCTGACAAACTGTTAAGACAGTGCAAGCTGTAATACTTCATTTGTGAGGTGGCTGTAATTCTGTAATATGCACAGTGATTTTTAAATAGGCTCTTAACCATGCCTTGCATGAAAGGTGCTACATACAAACCTGTTTCATGAACTCTTTGGTAACCACCAGTTCAAAAACTTGGACCAAACGTTTCCACATGGCCAGATGTGAAGCACTTTATTGGAGCTCTGGGCTGAAGCTATTACCCTGTAAAGTGAATTCCTGTGTTTCCTTGGGGGTTTAAATGTTGATTTAGAATAGAGCCAGATAATTAAAAGCATGTCAGGCCCCAGTCAGGAAAATGGCCCGTTAGTTTCTGGTTGGCCATGTTTTGTTTGGCAGAAGTAGTTTATCTTAGGAAAAAGAGTGATTTCCTACTAAGCTTGCTTCTGATAGTATCTTTTGGAGAAAATAAAATATTCATGTGGTTATTATTTAGTCCTTTCTTGAAATGGTATGAAAAAGGTGACGAATATAATTGAGAATATTCATACTTGTGCAGTCTCAAGTGTGTCCCTTGGCTGTCTCTTTAACTGCACTTTCAGGGTCAGCCTACCAGATTCAGTACTTTAAAGGCTGCCCTTAAGCATTTTCTACTTGAAGCAATAATGTGCTGCTTAAGTCAGCAGCTTCTCTATTTTAAGATATTAGTGTCCTGGGGAGGTCACGCTGTGATAGTGATAGTGTTCACCCTCCTTGGGCCACCTCCTACTCATTCAATTTTAACTTTTAGTAATTGTCCTGGGTTGTGTCCTAGTTGTGCAAATTAGATGCTAGTTAATATAAATCTAAGTTACCCACTTACTGTATTTAGCTAAAACATAATTTCTATATTTACTTTCAATTTATCCACCTAAAAATGAATTTACATTTTTTACATGCAAGTGTCTCTAGACTGCCATGATGCCCATTATCAATCTGATACTTGAGTCTAGGGAGTCATGATGGAGAGAGATGTTTCAAAGCCTAGAGAATAGGTTTTAAATATGTCAATATTTGTATTTTAGTAAGAATCCTTTGTATTTACATTTACATAGCACCTTTCATCCAAGAGTGTAAAAGTGATTTAACTTTACAGCATTATTTGGTGGCAAAACCTAAGTTAATGGTGGCATTAAGTTAAATAAATCCAAGTTCTCTAACTTCCATTTCAATTCTGGTCAACTATACATGCTGTCTTTCTTTTCATTAACGGTCTTTCTGAAAGTAGACTATGAACACAACACTGTTACTGGCCTACCAAAAAAAAAAGAGAGAGAGAAAGACAGGGAGGGAGGAAGGGAGCGAGAGACAGACGCATTTCTCATGGCACTAGGAACTGTGATGAAATACACAGTTCATAAACTACACACTATGGAATATAGAATAATTCCAAAAAGATTTTTAGAGCTGGTAATGAGAGCCTAAGAAGTATACTTTTAAAATAAAAAAAAATCAGTATCTTTCTCATTTCAGACCTTTAACATTATTCTGATATTTATGTTAAATAATGAATTTGTATTAATAAGTATCAATGCATTTTTTGATTTCATAAGAAAATAAAATTGTGATATAAAATTGGAACTACAAAAAAATTGATGTTTCCCTGGGTTAACTAAATCTACTTTGTTTGTGCTTCTTTCAAATGTTTAAGGTAACAAATGCATACAAATATTTCAAAAGTACCAATAACAGTTACCAACTTTAATGTAATATTATAAAGGACAAAAACAGGAAAATTCGTATTACTAAGTGATAACCTTAATAATAAATGAGTTCTTGGCAAAATGCAGATCATATTAAATTATTTACATTATTTTTGCCATAAGAAAACTTCTTAAGCAACAGTCAGCTCTCAAGTTAAAAAAACAAACACACATACATAACCCAATACTAAAGAAGGGAAATGAGTTAAAATACAACATCTTTATCTTGGGAATGCCATTTGCTGGAAAACCACCCTACTAAAAAAAAAAGTTTCAGAAAAACACTCTTTACCTTGGATCCATGTGTGAATGCTTAGCGTTGCTTAATGGGGAATATGGAAAGATTAATATTACTGTAAATTTTTTATAATTCCTATTCTCATTATGGATTTTTCAGATTTATCTTATAAACTGAATTTCTTTTGCAGTGCATGAAAATAATTGGCTTAAAAAGAAAAAAACGAATACCAACACATGCAGTCTGCTAACCAAATAAGGCTGACATGCCAATACAATGTTCTCTGTATCTTAATATATAGTACATTCCACAACATACTACAGCATTTAATTTAGATTTACACAACTAAATATAAATGGCTAGATTTTGGCTAATACTTAGCAGAAGCATTAAGCAAACATGGATAAATTCATAAACAAATGATGAAAGAAGTAGATTGTTCTTGGAGAACTTCTTGAAACCTTAAAACACTTGGTCCTTAGCGAGAGAACATCCTTTATTCAGTAGATCTTAACAGTACAATGTATGGTAAGTCCTAAAACCTAAAAATTTTGGCAGTTGACTCCAGTAGTGCTCCTTGATTCAAGGAAGGAATGAAGGTTTGTATTTCTTGCCTGCTCTAGTCACGAAGGATTGTTTAAAGTCTCCTTAAAGATTTTTTAAAATGATTCCTATAGTTGGGTGTCTTGTTACTTCAGAAATAAAGGCTCCATACTGAGAAACTGAAGGACACTTTTCTCTCTGTATTTAGTTGGAGGTAGAAAGAAGAAAATATAAGAAAAGCTTGAAGATAAGAGAGAGAGAAAATACAGAGCAGCCACTATAAGAACAGCATGCATCAGATATAAGTATTTCTATAGGAATGAGAGAGTGACAGAAAGTCAGAGACAATTTTTCTTTAAGTGGCTCTTCATAGAAAAGGCATTTAGTTTATTCTGCTCAATTAATTAAGAATATTGTGGGAAAGTTGTATTCCTACCACAAAAAAAGACTTCAAACTAAAAAAGGAATTCCTAAAATATTATTCACTAGTAAAATCAAATTTAAATTGATAAAAAAAAAGAAAAATAATTTTTAAAGGTTTGCTTTCTGCACTGACAGGCAAAAACTTACGGGAATCAACTAATCTTCCTTTACTAATAAGTAATTAAGACAGAAAGTCATGAATTAAGCAAGCAATATTTACATCCGTTAATGCAATGTGCACTTGTTCTTATACTTAACACGGTTAGTTTGTATAAATGAGACTAATCTCATTTACATTTTAAGCAAAAAACTCACCACTTGGCCCACATGTCATGTAGTGGGTAACAGAATTAGGAGCTTTGTTGCTCCCTAGACCTGCTTTTTGAATTTCTGCTTTCTTGTACTTTGTCCACATCTGCAGGAGAAAAGCATTTCATGTTATTTAATCAAAGGCTAAACATAATACAATTCATGAAGATAAACTAAAGAGCTCTCACTGAGTAGGGCAAGGAGAAGGAATCTAACTCTGAGAAATTTATTAATCTGATCTCATAACTTAAAGACTGCTTTTTATATTTTAAAAGCTACAAATAATATACTTATGTCCTCTTATTGTCAGATAGATTTACTTACCATGTTTATTTACTAAATGGTCACATACAGTTTTAAAGTAAAAAATAATCTCGCATGCAGCAGCGGAAACATCCACAATGAAATATTTGTATTACTTACTAAGAAAACCAGGGCCGGAGTCATATTTTATAGGCAAATACTATACCTACTTACACTGTTATAGCTAAAATTGCTTTGGTCAAAAAAGACCCAATGCCTAACAACATATGTTTACCATGTCATACAAATAATAAGGGTATAATTTTCAGAAACCTAGGCCAGGAATATGAAAGCTATTCAGTTTCATCTAAAATTGGGTAACTCCCAATAGTTTCTCAATCCTTTGTGAAGCCGTAAGGATATTTATGGACATGTCTTAGAGGAAAAAAATGCAGCTGCTCCATTGAGTCAGAGTTGCTTCACTTTTATCTTCAAAAAAAAATTTTTTTTTTAAAAAGTTGGGGTATCTATGTAAGATTTCATTTATAGAAAGCATTATGTTGATTTTTTAAAGTTTGGGAAGCACTGGCTTTATATGATTTCTAAGGTTCTTCCCACCACTAAAAATTTGATCCCAAGTGCTATGAAGAAACACAGGTAAGAAACTAGTGTTTTGGGGGAATTTTATGACTCCATAGTCGATGATAATTTCTGAAGGAGGTCTAGCCTATATTCTCAGACAATCCTCAAGACACACAGACATTGTATGTATCTGTCTCACAAGCACAACGTGTATGTTCTTTTTGAAAACATGCTGTATATCTAACTATAACTATTTGGGTTGTAAATACTTCTTTCCTGCAAGTCTAATTTTGTAAAATAATCACATAGTTTTTAATATAATAGCACATGATTTCTCAACATATTTTGCATAAATAAATTTAATATTTTAAATTTAGAGTGTATGACCAGATTTATAGTATCTAAAAAGTTGAAGTAGTTGTGAAATAATCTTTCACTCAATGCGGAAAAGAACACTAATTATTACATTTGTATCATCATATATGGCCCCCATCTAATCTCACCCACATTTACCATTAAGTTTTATTATTAGGTTATGAAAAAAGGAAAGGGACACTAAAAACATTTGAAATGTTAGGACTGATTGTAAACAACTGACATTAAAATAGATTGATGTATTCACATAGAAAATATATTAGGTGGTACTAAAAATATGAAAAATTTCTGATTGTGTTCATTTGATTACCTGCACTACAACCATTTTTAGTAATAGCAGCCTATGAGAAAAGAAGTATGGTCAAAAATATAAATGGAAGGGGCCTAGCCCTTGAAATGATCTTGTCTAAGTACAAGAGGATGGCTTAATTTATGAAAGATACAAATTTCATCAAGCAAAGATTCTCTATAGATTCTGCTTTCTTTGGCCCAATTAATAACAATAATAATATAATATGTCTAAAATAATTTCCTCCCCATTTAGTTACATTTCAAAACATTCCTTCCAGATGCCAGGCTGAGTTATTATCAGTAATATTTAGGCTGAATGAAAATGGCAAAAAACATTCCAGAGACAGAGGTAAGATACACTCCTCTAGAAGTAAGTGAATTAAGGTTATGGGTTTTTGGGGGTTTTTTGTTTTATTCTGGGAGTCAGAGATTTAAGTTTAGCTGATTCTGCTTTAAAAGTGCTATGACCACAGCAACATAATTTTAAAGTTTATGATATTGAGTCAGAGTTAGCAATTATTTTCTCTATCTTATATGGTTATTTTTTAGCTAAGAGTTGGTATTTATTCTTAGGTCTAAAATATGTTCTATTAAAAACATACTTGTTTGTTTAAATGGTTACAAATCCTAATTCTACATTTTATTTTAGCACAATGTACTCATTTTAGAAAATTCTGTTTTAAGGACAGACATATATAATTTAATAATAAATAAATTATAGAATTATAGAAGTAACAATCTTCACCACTTTGTAAACTTGCTACCCTTTTTGAACAGAAGTAAAAATTCAAATTTCCAACACATTGAGTATGATTTGGTTTATTTCTCTTTGACTTGATATAAAAAAAAGAACTGGAAAAACTATGTTAACTGATTCCAAGTAAAAAAGTCATCTTCAAAGAAAGATAGTACTTGAGCTCTTATATTTATCAGATGAAGGAAAGTGCAGAGAAGAAGTAGAATTAATACAAATGCTCCTAGTCACTGTATAAGTCACATTTAAATTTGATGGAGTTTTTTAAGAATTACACTAAATTGATGAGTATTAACAATGTTTTAAATCTGAACAATTTTATAAATATGGGAAGTAGTTAATATTTGCTACATAAAGTATTGAGTTATTTACTGTTTCTTTGAAAATAAAACAGCAGGACAGAAGGCATAATTAAATGGCAAAAGAAGATGACATCTTTTTACATATTTTCCTTACCACTACTGTACATGTGCAATATGAAGTGCACATTCTGGAAAAAAAAAAAAGAAGGGAGTGAGAGGAAGAGAAGGAGGGAGGGAGGGAAGAGGAGCAGGAGGGAGGGAGGGAGAAAATGAGCATTCTTTTCTGGAAGTAATGAAGTAACTATGACTTGGAAATGCCTTCTTGGTAATTATTGCATGCAACTATTTTCACATGCTTCTAGGTATCAAAGTAACAATCTCTTATCAGGTAACAAAAAAATATGAAAGAGGAGCATGTATTGCTAAGGTTTTTAAAGTCATGCGGAACATGTACAATGCAATTTATTCATGCAGGCTTTGGTGTGGTTACACATTCACATTTATATACATGCTATTATGTATAATTGAACACTATGCCATCATTTAAAAATAAAAATATAAACCTAGCCAAATGATACTTTTTGACAGCAGCTCTTCAAATCAGATTAGAGAAGCACGTTGCATATCAAATGACATCGGTATTATATTGTGCAGTTTTGATCATACACAACCATATTCATACCAAACAGTTTGATTATCCTCAGAAACCAAAAATGCAGCTTCTGTGTCATCAGGATAGAGGCATGCTGGAGTGATAAGATTATTGCCATCTACAGAAGACTGTGGGTTACTGTTATTAAGGTTCTGATTATCAGAAAACTGTTCATTATCTTTCTGTGCAGCTTTATCCAAAGAGGCAGAAGTCTGGTCAGTTACTCTGATGACTGGCCTGGGAGGTAACCCACTTATGTTACTAACTAATTCTGTATTCAGGGATAAAAATGGCTGAGACAGATGAACCACAGTAAATGACTCTATGCTATCTTTATCTGATACTCCAAATGCATCATCAGACGCATTAATAGTGGCAAAAGTTTGGTTTAGAAAATGTGACCTCTCTGTTCTTGAGTTTCTAGCGTGGGCATAGAGAGACTCCGGCTTATCTGTAGCTAAATCATTTTGTGCATGATAACCTACAGGATATGTTGGACTGTGAAGTGTACGAGAGGACCACTGATGTAAACGGTACTCACTAGATGCTGCAGTGATGTTGCTATCAGCAGTAGCTGGTGGTGAATCAACTGACATAGGTAATCTACTGTCCTTGGTCAAAAAATCATGGATGCTTGTCCTTCGAGTAGTTCCTTCGGCAGTAGAGATCACACTGCTTGCACGAGGTAAAGTGGCATAAGGATTACTATCTTTTGATTGTCGTGACAGAGAAGTTTCTTTTACTAATTTTAGCTTCCCTTGAGTGCCTGGTGTAGGTTTTCCTGGAGAACTAATGAAGCAGGTATCTTCAGTCTTTCGAGGACCAGGTCTCACAAATTGTTCAGGCTTAGCTGTCCGTCTATCGTAGAAGTCTCCTGGGGTTTTTCCACTTACTGACCTGGCCAGACTACAGCTAACTGGTTTGTTTTTTCCCAAAAAGTCAGAAGAGACAGACAAACTTTTCATTACTTCATCTAAAAGATTCTCTTGACTGGAGGACTTCATCTGTTAAAAAAAATTATCAAAATAGATTAGTGAATACAGCCATACTTTTACTCTCCTGATATATTAGACTGTATGATATAAAATTGGTAGTATCGCTAAACTTTACTCCTTAACTTAAAAAAAAGGCTCTGAAGTTCCATCATAGAAATTCAACTTGTAGTGTCCATTTAAATTAAGGTCACTATAGAAAAAACTAACCTGTATTGAGGTAAGCTTGTTGCTTTCTTCCAAAAATTGTTGTAGAGTAACAACTTCACTTCCAGGGGAACCAATTTTGATCTTGTGATGTGCTCGACTCTCTAGTATTTCAGGCATTTTGTGCTGGAGCACTGGACTTGATCTGGTCTGTCTTTTCAGGTACTGGATTGGGCTGCTACCACTGCTAGACCAAGCCTCATGATCATAAAGCAGGCTAAATTCTCCACTGCTGTGGCTTTGTGGCCTGCTTTGGATATTAACTGCACCTGCTTTTGGAGTAAATGGTGTGTTAAGAGTTCAATAATGGAAATGAGATTAAAACTATATAAGTAATAACATTTGTTGACTAGATTCTTATGAATAGCCAAACTGACTTACAAACTTTATTTAGAAATGCTTAGTAAACCATGTTAATCTTTCATCAGTCTAATAATTGTCTGCCATAGCCTGCTTCCTCATTTTTGTGAAATTGATAAATATTATAAGTTCCACAAGGAAAAAGACTTGCTTTCACCACCATACTAAGAGCCTAAATATACAAAGCAGGCACACAATACATTTGATGAGTAAATGAATGAATAATACATTTTAAAAAATTTAGGTTCAAGTAATTGTAAAATACCTCACAATTTAGAACAAAACATGATTATATGAATTTTAAATTACTTCAGAATATTAAAACCAAAAACTGTTCTAAATGCTAAAAGTTCTAATTCTTTGCCTCTCTATGAAGTCTTTATTCCTTACTTGAAGGCTTCTCTGTTCATCCTAAATCAATAACCTTAAAAAAATTTTTTTATTTAAATAGCAGGCGTATAGAAAGTCAAATGGAGACATGATGTAATTACTTAGAAAATTCCAGTAAAGATATAAAATCAAATACATAGTATTTTATTCTTTATTTAATGTCTGAATCATCTGATTGTTCCTGCTTTCCACTGTTGGTATGGTGGCTACATAATCTTAAACGATTCATTGAGGTTTAGCAACTGTATAGAACACAAATTACTAGTTCTGAAAAAAAGTTCCCTAAAGTTTATGCTATTCCTTAGGAGTGCTGATTCATTTTGATCAATACCAAATGTACAGATACATTAGATACATAATATAGATATACTGAGATAGAAAATGCCACTTTCCATGATTTCCTAATCACAGAGAGTAAAGTGGGTCAAAGAATTTGGCTCAAGTTATGTAACATTTTATAGAAATAAGGATTTATATTTTCAAATCAGAAACGAAATACTTCATATTTTCAGACTACATTTTTCTACTGGATATAAGAACATGATTGTAAAGATGAAAAAAAAATCCCTCCTTGAAATAAGATTTTTCAAATCACTACAACCAAGTCATGTATTAATGATAAAATAAAATTACAACTGAAACAAAATGATTTTATAATACAAAAAGCCATAGAACAAACACATTCATTATAATTTGACAATTCTAGACTATGGAGAATAACTACTTTAACCAACTTTTATAATCTATTAAACAATTCCAGAATCTGAATAGGCAGTATATCTTTAAGAAAAAAGGCAGTAGTCAAGACTTCCAGACATTTACATAAAAACCTCACCTTGGAATGTATATTTAAAAATTAAGGAAAAGATATCTTGAAATAATTCTTTATATGAGCTACATGCATCCATTTGGCTCTTGTTACTTACACACACACACTTGTCTTCTCAAATTAAAAAAAAATTTCCCTTTATTTCACGGATAAATTAAGCTAAAATTTTTTCTAAAACATTTTCTGTAATGAGATTTCAATGTACATGCATCATGAGAAAATTGAGGACAACCATTTTCAAGACAAAGACAAAATGTAAGTAAAATAAGGACCTACAGATATTTTTGAAGTATAAAGATTACAATAAAAATATTTTATCTGTGAAGATGAAAAATGGAAACCAAAATAACTGCTCCTGTTTTTACATTTGTATTCATTGAAATACACTTGTATTACAATGTGAAAAGTAGAAAATGTTCTAAGGAACTATATTCCAAATGTAGATGATTTGGATCTCATACCTTACCCCAGGAACTTCACCAATTTCCCACTTCTAAATCTGGAAATGGATGGAGCATATTAACAAATTTACCTACAGCATACCTTTTACTTCATGGATTGAAGCATTATTATTGCTATTGCTAGTGGATGTTCTGCCACTATCAAGGCTGGCTGGTCTCGAAGCTAAATGAAAAAATCAGGAGACAGTGTGATAAAACTTCCAGCTGATGACACTGAACTTTACATTCTGATCACAGAATGCTTTGAAGAAGCAATCATGCATACTTTCACAGGCTGAGCATGCCCATCGAAAGTTGAATCTTATAGATTAGAAAGCAAAGGCATTTCCAGATACTTCAGTTAGACCCTTTAGAACAGGACACTTCTGAAACAATAGTTGAGATTCAAAGAAAAGATGTTAAAGTGCATATTTAGATTTGGAAATGATTTCTAGATGGATACTAGGTCTGTTTTAGTTAAAGACAATGACATGCCCCCACCCCTTCCCCGCCAAAAAAAAGTGCTAGTGATTATAATGGTCACTTACAAGAGATCAGACAAGGAACCCTGCACATTGCAGATATGCCACGAACAGGAGAAATATGAGCATCTGCACAGTTAATGTCCTGTATTCCTATCCATACAAGGGAAACAATTGCACAGTTAACGTGGCCCTGTCCTACTTCTTAAAATCTTGCTTACATATGAAATTCCTTTAATGTTATCCACTTATTGTTAATAATCTAATTTGGTAAGATATGATTTTCCAGATAGAAATTCAAAAATTTGAAATGCTCAACATTGCAGAAAATGTAGTTTCTTAGAGTTCATCCTGTACCAAAGTAAATATATTTTAAATCAATGGTAAAATGATATATCTCTCATAACTTTAACCCTATACCAAAATGGCAACAAAATTACCTTTGAGCACTGTGCAGGCATACTTTATAAATGACCTTGACTAAAACAGAGACTATTTAGATGAAGCAATAACCTTAAAAGGGGCTAAAGGGAGTATTAGATCTGAAGAAATGGCAGAGGTAGATATGAGATGCAGGTTAGAGAAGACATGCTTGCTGGCAAGGCCACATTCACCAATTCAATGCAAGAGTCTTAGCATTTCCATTCTGTATGTAATATGTACTCTCTAAATAAAGTTCATTATCTTACCATGAACTCTTGATCCCGTACTAGAATCATCACTAATACCTTGTGGACTTATATCTTCAAAGGATGTAGTATCTACATAAAATAGTAAAATGGATATAAAAATATCTTTTAACAACAAAACAAAAAATCCCATCATTAAATTTTATTTACGTAGACTATGAAAATTCTTTTTCAATCATGTATAATATATCTTGATTTAACATATTTCATAGACAACCAGAAACTGGACCTAAGAGAAAGAAACGTAATAGCTCTAATGAGAATTGACTTGCTTAGGGAAAACATCAGAAGCAATGAAACAATCTCCCTTGTGACCCTGCAAAGCAAAGCAAGAGCCTGGGTTGTTCCACATGGTTCTCTCTGTTTAAAGTTGTAGTGTCTTTAGGTTTTTTTAAAAGCTTCTATCACTCTCTCCTTTTCTCACTCTTTACTTGGTTTACTCTTCCTTTTCTGGTTAGCTCATTAGCTTTTTATTATGAAAGGCCTAGAAAAGATTTTAGTTATTTGTATGATGCTTTAAATTTCTGAAATGATTTGAAAATTCCCTCAAATCAAATTCAGATTGTTTTGATAATTATTTCAGGTTGTTGCTGTCAAAAAAGTACATGTGGGAAAGTCAAATTAAAATTCCTGTTGCCAACAGTTACACCACAGTGCAAACAGCCTATACCTTTATTATTAACCAACTGCTTGGATCTGAAGCCTGTAGAAGAGTTGACAGTTGAAAAGTTGATGGCTGTAGTAGAGAAGGCCATAGCTCCCAATTCTTTTCTCCTTTTACCCGTTGAAATATCATCAGGAACCTCCAAATTCTCAGTACTACCTGTCCACTGTCCTCCTGCTAGGACCATGGACTGCACCAGGTCATTCATGGCTGGGATGCAAATGAAAGCAAATGAATCAGCATGGTTAATGTATTTGTTCTTATTTCTATTTTGTATTATAAATGATCTGGTTTTTGTCTATGGACTAATGCAATGAATATCAAAAACTATAACCAAGTGGTCATCTGAATTATGACATGCATTCAGCTGAATGAAATGAGTAGCCCAAAGGCTGGTAAGTTTCAGTCAGTATTTTTATCTCACCTCCCCCCCCCCCCTTTAAAGACAGAAAAAGGAATTTTACTCTGTACAACTGCCATGCTTTTGCGCAGTCATGTGCAGTATAATTAGAAGCCTTCATAATGTGGTTTTGTGGTGACAAAAATGGAATGAATAAAGGTAAGATGGAGAGCAGTTCTTATACAGCATCATTATTGAAAATGACAACGAGTCCTTGGTCAGAGCAGGTTACCAAAGAAATTATTCATTGTATGAATCAAATAAGTATACCACTCAATAAAAACCTAAAAGAGATAATATCCACAGTGACAGACATTTAATGTGATTACGTAATACCCATTCCACTTAAAAAAAGAAAAATCCAGAGTATTATTATATAAAGAATGACAAACATTTTCAAAGGTTACAGGACATTTTATTTATTTATTTATTTAATCTAGTTCATTAAGGAAATAAATTCCTAATGCTAAAGGTTTTGTTATATTTTCTTTAAGTAAATTTCTTTGGGAAAAAATCTCTATGGCATATAAAATTAAAGCTTTTTTTCTGCCAACTTTTAGAAAGCAGTGGAAATTTACAAGTATATTACATGTATGGCTAAACATATGCACGTATATGTATCAGTGACATACATATAATGCAAATTCAGTGCCAGTTTTGAAAAAAATATTCTTCCAGCTCCTTGTATTAGGGGAAGACTGCACTTTGCAAAATAAGAAAATTGGCACAGTCCAGACAAAAGTTAGTAAAAAATTAGTAATGGAAGCCAATGGAGTCATTTGAAAGAAGCTGAACTGTCATAAAGTCTTACACATGGAACGACGGTAGCAGGCCTTCATTTTGTCTTTATCCTTCGGTCTGTTCCTCAAAAAGGGCAGTCTTTTCAGTGCAACCACTTTAATGTCAGAGCATGAGGAAAAACAGAAACAGAAAAATGAAAGAAAAAAGGGAGAAGAACAGATGGGAGTTAAATGTTGAAATTAAGGACAGAAATGAATGTCTGAGTTTCAGCTATGTATGCTATACTAAAGCTATTATTCTCGTGCTGCTGAGTGATAATGAAATATGAAATATGTACTTTGATACTTTAAAATACTTGAAAAAGCACTGAAGACAATGATGACGACATATACTTTGAAAGCTTGGATTGGCTAACGTCCTGTAAATACAGAACTGATTAGAATTCCTTATGGAAGGAACAATTTTCCTAGTTAAGTAGTAAGGGTATACCTTTAAAAACAGGGCTATTGGTGGGCCACAGAGTACACATGATGAAAATGTACAAGGCTTTTCAATCCTCTACTTTCTTTAACTTCTTAAATTATACGGCTCTATTTTGGAAAAAAATAATTTAGGAAAATGTACATCCTATAAGAGTATTTTATTAATATACACCAACAAAAACTAGGGTGTCCAGGGGATGTTTAAAACAATCTAAAGAAACTTTTAAAACTTTCATTATTTTCATAAACTTTAATAAAGAAAATAGGAAATTACTTCTTTGTTTAAACTGAATTCTGGTGCATTATTTAGTAGCACCATGGAAATATATATTCTTTTGAGCAAAGTCTTTCAAAAGATGACTTAAGCAATTATATTAATTTCATTATGCAAAAAGACTGGCTAGGAAAAAGAGAAAAAAAAGAGTATTTTGACAGTAGTAGTAAGTGCTAGCACTAAGCTCTGATAAGGAGGCATTCTAAAGCAAGCAAAAATGACAGAAAGATATGTATGTATAACATTTTTAGATACTTTGAAGGGCTTTTTGGGTGAATTTATTAAAAAAATCAAAGGTAGCACAGTGCAAAAAAATTTTGTGAATGAAAATTCGGGTTATAACTATAGTAGAAGTCATTAGCATAAAAATAATAATGTTCACTAGAATCACTAACATTCTTAAGCCATATTTTAATAAGATTTGAACACAAAAAATTGTTACACCTTTCTGGAACTGCAATTTAGGAGCTAGGGAAGCAACTTGCATAAAAACTTAAAAGCATATTGTACACAGCCTTAACTATGCTCTTTTTCAGGGTTTGCCATCATCTTGTAAGTAATCAAAGCTTTTTTGACAAACTGACAAGTACCATTCATTAAGGAGAATGCAGTGGACATACAGCTTTTTAACTTATTTATTTGATTGCTATTAGGAATAGTCACGATTCATTTAAGTTTTAATTTGACCTATTTTTTTCTAGGTTGGTAAACACAGCTGTTTTCAATGATTAAAAAGAAATGAACTGAAAGCAACGTAAAAATGGACACTTAGCTAAAACAAAGCTGAGTGGTTGCAGCATGTACACGTTGTCTTGTTTAGATAACTTTTTCTGTTTTCAACTGTTTTCCAAAGACTGCTTTACTGACAGACAGACACTCTTCCAAAACGGACAGGCTAAAAGGAGTTTTAAACTTGCCAGTGGAGGAATGTGATCCCTCTTACAGCAATTAGTTTGTAGATATACAATGTTCTTTTCCCAAACTGTACTGAAAGTAAGGGAACATTAGCATTGTTGGGTTTTGTGGTTTATTTTAAATATTCTAACTGAACAATTGCAGGAAAGGAGAATATTACTTCCTTCTGATTTTTATTTTGGATGTTTCAGCAGAGAGTGTGAATAACAGATTTATATTTAAAACATACAAGATGACCTCAAAAGACTTGTCGTGCCTATCTTGTGTATGTTCTCATACCTGAATTGAAATATCTTCCTTTAATTAAAAAAATTAAGTATACCCATTACCATTTCTCATTTATTAAGATGTAAGATATTTTATGACTAACAGTAGCAGATAAAATTGAATTATCTGGCACCTTTTTAAAGAAAAATTGATGATCTCTCTGAGTAACAATACTCAGAGGTTTCGTTTAGATTCGGGTGACAAGACTAGACAGCAAAAGACCCAGGTAACAATATTATGTGGAGATATAGAATTAAACCACTTTCTTGAGACTAATATATATACACACACACACACCTGCATGTATGGTATATGTACATATGTATGTGCATGGTGTATTCTGTTGCTTACTTATGGATTCTAGTTTTTAGAATAATTGCATATTCTGAAATATATATGCATATATATATTGCATTCTGAAATACATCCTATAATGAATGTCTAATCTCCTACACCCTAAAATATTGTCTTTTCAGAGATAATTCTCCTGAGGCCAAAACACTGCCTGTAGTTTTTGAGTATTTTGCGAGTTGCCCATAGGAGAGAGAGACTACTTCCCCGGGGGAAGTAGTAGCTGTTTTTGCCTGCTATTTACTTCAAAAGAATAGTAGTAAAATTTATACATATAATATACATAATATTTATATAAATATGTAAATTATGATTATATATATTTTTAAATTTAGTGTCTCTGGTGATAGTATGAGTGAATTCAAAGTATCCTATTTAAACATTTTATAAGAACATTGATAGCAGTCGACTTAGATATCTTCCAAGGGCCTAATATTGAATTGTTTTTCTCTTAAAATTCACTTCTTTAGGCTTTTACTTTGCTCTTGTTGTTTAGCTAAGCACACTAGTAATAAAACAAAAAGATTATGAATTGTATAGGGCATGTTATGATGTGTACTTCTACATTTGTAATTTAAAAATTAAATCACAAACTTTTATCTCCACATCTATTTTAATTGACCCTCTACCAAGCAATCCCTCAATAATTTTCATAACCTTCAATTATTTCTAAATCATTGAATAACATTCTCTCAAATTCATACCTATTTATCTTTGCTTCCTCCCAATGTAACTTAGCTCCATTTTGACACCATTGAAGTATACAAGTAAAACCTCATTACAAAATGCCATATTACACTATTTAGTTATAAATAATTATGAAAATGAGCTCTTATAAATATTTCTCACTTGCTCCTCATAATCACCCTATGAAGTATGACATAAAGGTAGAAGGCTTGCCCATATTAACAGAACTAGCGAGAGGCAGAGGTATTCTGACTCTTACTTCAATGTTCTTTCTACACTATTTTATCTCCCTGGCCCAATTATGGTATCTCTGTACATGGTATATCCCTAAACACACAATATAGAAAATCAGGTGGTTATGCATTACTGCATTATGCAATGAATTTTATAATGAGATGGAGTTAAAAAGAAATGCATTCATCAGACTACTACCTCAAAGGACAGTTGAAGTTATTTAACAGAAATCTTTAGAAAGAATTCTAAATCAATACTGGAGATCACAAATGTTTAAAAGTTGAAGCACTCACTGCTGCTTTTCTTGGTCCCCAGAGTTTGGCCATCTTCTAAAGAGTTTGAACCTACTGAAGAACTATCTTGACTATCTTGATGGGGGAGTTGAAGAAATCCTTCACTGGAGTCTGAGCGGGTAGGTGTTAATGTTAGAGATTTCTGACGTTCTCGATTAATATCTTTCTTAGACTTTATCAATTTTCTCATTTTTAGAGTAATCCAGTTGCCCCTCCTAAGAGAATAATTAAAAAAATTCTTATCAGTGTAAAATTCAACATATATATCCTTCATAAAATTAAAAGTCTTAATATAATTTTCCTTCCCCCCCCGCAAAATAAAAATGAATAAAATCTGGTGACTAGTACCTTCTAGGAGGAGATGGATCATAAAATTTATATTGATCCATAATTTTCTCTTCTAATTTCTCCTTTTGTCGTCTTAATTCATTTAACTTATCACTATAAGAATAAAAATTACATTTTAGGACATGCATATTTTGTACAGCTATGAATGATATTAAATTATTGTGTGACTATGCTCTAACTTCTCCGCAAAACATAAACAAATACAGATACCATAGTTGACAACTAAGAATTTATTAGGTTAGTAACAGTTATTAGGTTTCCAAGTTTCTCCTTTTCTTTATTTTATTTATTTTTTTTTTTAAAGATTTTATTTATTCATTTTTTTCCCCCCAAAGCCCCAGTAGATAGTTGTACGTCATAGGTCCGCATCCTTCTAGTTGCTGTACGTGGGACTCGGCCCCGGGTTGGACGGAGAAGTGGTGCCTCGGGGCGCGCCCGGGATCCGAACCCGGGCCGCCAGCATCAGAGCGCGCGCACTTAACCGCTAAGCCACGGAGCCGGCCCTCTCCTTTTCTTTAAATTTACAACTTACTTAAATAAAAAGCTATAGGATTTAAAGTTTTAATTCTTCAATAGTATTTATTTGTTTAAAGAAAATTTTCCATATTACAATCTCATCACGACAAAGGAATTCTCTCAACATCTTTTTACAGCAATTACACATTACATCAACATTGACTTTTCTTCTATTCTTGGATCTTTAGTATCTCAAATGATTTTTGGAATGAAGAGTAATTTATTATAATTTATATAGGCAAAAAATTAGAATGTTGAATAGTTTGCTTACAATTACAGATACAATAAATAATCTTGCAACCACATCTTCATGCAAACACATTTTTTCCTTTATGGCAGAATTATTTAGGCTTAATTTACTAGTAGAGAATTATTTCCTGCCTCCATCAAAGCATGAATATACTAGTTTCACCACATCTTAGTCTCATTTTTATGTTCTTAGTATTATAGTCATGTGTCGCTGAACTATGGGGATACGTTCTGAGAAATGCATCATTAGGTGATTTTGACATTGTCTAAACATCATCAAGTGTACTGACACAAACTTAGATGGTACAGCCTACTACACACTTAAGCTATATGGCACTAATCTTATGGGACCATTGTTGTACATGTGGTCTATCATTGACCGAAACGTCATTATGTGACGCATGACTGCATATATTATATAGGGAAACATCAAAGATCACAGGCCAAAGAAAATCGCTCTAAAAAAAAAAAGTGATGCCAAAGAATACTATTTACTCAACAAACATTTAGTGATCATTTACAATGAGGAAGGCATGAGGAGTATATAAAGATGAATAATAAGTAGCCTAGCTCTGCTTATAATATAGTAGGAGAAAGAAGATATATACATAAATGACTATTATAATCCAAGGCAGTAGTGATGCCAAAATAAAATTACTGCGGAAGTACAATAGGAACTTATAAAAGGGAAAATATTTCCCTCTCAGATGACCAAAGAAAGCCTAATGAAGAAAAAAGCCATATTAGATAGACTGAAAAGGAAAGATAAGAATGCTAAATTAAGCAGTTTAGCTGAGGGGAAGAAGTGAGGGAGTTTCAGGTTTAGATTTTGCTCAAGAGGATATCAGAAGTATTGAAGGTTTCCTTACAAAGTGACATTATGCACAATTTGCTTTAGGTACTTTAACTCAGTGATGGAATAGGATATATTAGAAAGGATGGAGGTAAAGCATTCAGGAGGCTAATGGGGTCGTCTAGTTGAGAGGGAAGACTCAACTAGGGTAGTGGGAACTAGAAGGAACTGACTTGAGAGATTCTATGGAAGAAGATGCTTTGTGAACAGATGCTGCCAACATTTACACCACAGCACAAATAGCAGATGACCTATACTTCCCAATTCTTTTCTCCTTTTACCTGTTGAAATATATCAGGAACCTCCAAATTCTCAGTACTAGCAGTTCACTGTTACTCTTGCTAGGACCATGTGACAGAGGCATTCAGCTAGAAATGTCTGACAGGTAAGATGGATATTTTTAATTTAAATTCAAAGTCAGAATAGATACTAATATTTGTAAGTCAACTATATAGATACAATCAATGAAACCTTGGAAATGGATTATTCATAAGGGATCAGAATATTAAGAAGATAAAGCTTTGGATAATGCGTCTGCTTAAGGGACAAGAAACTCAAATGCCAAGCTTTAGATATATACTCACTGCTTCTTAAGTAAAATACCTCTTACGGCAGAGAGTAAAGGCATACATACCCTGAAAGGATTAGAGGTGCAGTCCCAAGCAGCCAGCCACAAATGTAAAATTTCTCTGAAGTTTTGCATTTATCTTAAAAGTTCATGCAAACTCTGCCTTTTGCTCCATGATATCCCTGTGTATTAATACAAAAATGTTCCCTGCCCCAAATTTTATATTAAAATTGATACTTCAAAAAATGTATGATGTATCCTGGTTTCATATGTGCTTACCATCATGTACATCATGTCTGAAAGGCACAGATATATTATTTCATTTACTCCTTAGGATAACCCTGGAAGTAGGTAACATATCTCTATTTTAGAGAAAAAGAAACCAATGATCAAAGAAATGAAATAACTTGTCTATGGTCACAGAGCTAGTGACTGTAAGAACTGGAATTTGAATTAGGAGCTGTCTGATTTCAACATCTGTGCTATTTCTATTATACTATAGTGCTTGTCATTTAGGGAACAAGGGAAAGAGAAGAATTTAGGAAAGGTGAATCATGGTATAATACGAAGACTACCCACTGAGCTGCCCAGGCCAAAATCCCTGATTTTACCAGATTCCACCACTCTCAATAGAGACACAATTTACCAATAATTTAGCCTAGTCAATTCTCTCTCTCACATCTTTCTTGCGTTTGATCTCAACTGCCACTGCTTATGAATTATTTTCACTAGATTATTCTAACTGCCTTCTTAAAACTTACTGCTTGTCTTTATTTTCAGAACCTCCAATCCATACTCTAAAATGTCATTAGTGGCTTTTAAAAAAAATGCAAATATCGTCATATTATTCCCCTGCTCAAACATTTCAGTGACTCCTTTGGCATAGAAAAGCCTTCGTGAAGTGGCTCCTGAGTGTTTAGCCACTTTGCTGCTCTTCCTTCCTCAATTTTGCTCCAGTATGAACGATTAATTTTTAGATCCTATACCATACCACAAGACACTTTCATCACACTGTCATGTTTTTTGTGTTTGCTGCTTTCTTGGCCTGGCATGCCTCCTCAGGCAAACTCCTGTTGAACCTTTAAGTCTCAGCTCAAACAATCATCTTTGCAAAGTCCACCTTACCTCTCCCAGACTAAGGTACTCCTTCCCCTATATTTGCTATATTTCTGTGGCCTCCTACACATACCTTCATTATAGCAATTATTTATATTTATCACTTTATATTACTAGTTTCTTAAGAGCAGGACCCATGTGTTTTCATAATATTTCTGGTTTTTAGCATAGTGCCTAGAACATAAGCATTCAAAAAAATATATGTTGAAATAATAATGTTGAAAATCACAAAAAATTAGCATTGAGTATTCCCTGCCATGAGGTATGGCAATGATAAAATCATGAGTAATATTTCAGAGCACAAAATTATTTGGTACCTACATGTATTGTCTTTGTTCAACATGAAAAAGATCCTTGCTTTCCATATTCTGCTCCAATAGTGTTCTGTTCTGTAGCATTAATGTCTGAATTTGATCTAGTAGATGACGATTTTCTTCTTCCAAATTTCCTTTAAGTTGGCTTAGCAACTGTTTAAACACAACCATTTATTTTTTAAAATATCAACATTTACATTTAACATAACCCAAAACATCTGATAAATATAAAGTACTTCACAAAGACTTAAGTCTACTGCTACTTGAACAAGTAGATGGTTGCACTTCGATCAGAATATGAGTGATTATTTTAGTAATAATGACAGCTAAAGCACAGGGTTATGTGCTGTTCATACATATTTTCTTAATTCTCATAAACACTGGGTTTAACATATAATAAATTATCTAGTCCCCAAAACACTGCTTTCTTCAAAACTATTTAACTTACGGTCTGAAAGCTAGATTCAAATCTCTGGCCTTCTGTTTAAGTAGCTATGAAATTCTAGACAAGTTAGTTAATTCTCTGATTCAATGACCTCATCTATAAAATGAGGATAGTAACTCCCACCCCCAAGATTGTTGCAAGGATTAAATAATATATGCAAATACAGGACCTGGTGTCATGCCTATGGCACACAGTAGGTACTTAATACACCTCATTCTTCCCCCAACTACTGTTTTCAAGGAACCTTAAAGTTTGTACACACTTTTTGTGGCTTGATCAAGGGAGTCAGGTAATCTTATCAAAGGTTGGTATTACTAGCTGATATTACTGGTAGTTGGGCTGCCAGTAGCATGGGGCTGCTTTTTCTGTGTAGTTAGTAGAAACTAGAAATATGCCTTAGTTAGGCCAGAGGTTCCAGCAGAAGTCAGAAAGCCCAAAGTAGTGATTCTCAAAATGTGGCATCTTGTAGAATATGTTTAAAAATATAGATTTCTGGGACCTAGCACTCCAATTCAGCAGGTCTGAAGTAGAGCCTAGAGATCTGCCTTAAAAAAACAAACAAACAAAAAAGCCAACAACAACCCTGCCTCCAAAAAAGGAAAAAGAAAACAAACATTTTGAAAATTGTCAAAAGGTACAGAAAAGCAGATAGTATAATATTATGAATATCCATAAACAGCCATCTAGATCTCACTACTGTCAATATTGTGCTATGTTTGTTTTATCTACATATTGTTAAATTGAAATGTAACAGGTGGCAGATTCACAGCAAAATTCAATGCATTTCTCCTCCTCCTTGTACCTACACCCTCTTGGAATGTGACCTCTCACTCTTCCCATTAAGAAGTAGAATCTATTTCCCCTCATCTTGAATTTGGAATGCCTTTGGCCAAGAGAAGGAGGTGGAAGTGATAGTGTGACAGTTCCAAGCCTAGGCCTTTCACACATGTGTGAAAGCAGCACCCAGATCAAGAAACAGCATATTAATTGTATTCCAGAAACACTCATTGTGCTCTCTTTCAATCACCATCCCTTCCCACAAAGATTAACTACTATTTTGACCTCTTATATTATAGATTCATTTTTCCACTCTCTCCAAATCATGTTATTCCATGACTTAGCCCTAGCCAAGGGTTTACAATTGACTCAAGTTGGGACAATCAGCTAGGGATAAGTAGGTAGCTAGGGCCCTTTCTGGTCTCTTCTGAGCAGCTGTCCAGACCACCAGTGACATGTGGGACCTTATCAAGACCTACTATGATGGGTTGTCTCATTCCTCAGATCTTTCACTTAAATTTCTGATTAGTTTGCTGGTCTGTTACTTGCCCCAGCCAATATTCCAACCTCAGCCTATCTGTGAGTTGGCCTTTGACAACTCTCCCCAGCACAGGACTTTTCTGTGCTCTGCTCAAATCAAATCAGTCCCCTCCAGTAGCAAAGGTGCTGGTTTTTATGGCTTGTTCTGCGCCCTGGCAGAACTACCAGATATTGGAACTGGGGAATGGGAATGGGAGAAGTTATAGATGCTTCAGACAACCAATGCTCCTACCCAAAGTTGAGTAATTTTTTAATAAATGTTGCTCAATTTGTTGTATGCTTTTGCTTGAGTTCCAGATTCCTAAAATGGTTGTTTTTGATGGTTTTGTCCAATTTTACTGCTTCTTGGGGAGCTGATTTGTCATGTTCCTCACTCTACCATTCTGTAAATCTATTACCTCAATTAGATTTTATTTAGACTTTTACAAATCACAGGCAGAATGAATGTTCTATACTTTCTGAGCTTTGTTGGGTAATTAAATGTATATGATTTCAAATCAATTTTTCTTTCTATTGGTTTATCATTTCAGACAAAAAAGCTTTTAGGTAATACTTTTTCTGATACTGTCTATTCCTAATTACAGTTAAGAGTTTGCTTAAATTAAGTGCTGGTTTCCTAAAAGTTCCATGAAATTCAGCTGTTAAGCTATATTCAAACTTTAATGATTTAGGTACCAACCATAAAATTTAAGGATTATCTAAGGCTTTCAGTGTCCTTTTTATATTTCAAAACTTTTATCACTTTATCAAACCATCATAGGGAGAGGCATGGAATTAAGAATAGAATTGTATACATAAGGCAGATATCATTTCTGTTCAAAACCCTCCAATGGTGTCCCCATTTTACTCAGAATAAAAGTCAAAGTTTTTTTACACTGGCCTAAAAGGCTACATATCTTGCCCAGGCACATCTCTGATCTCATCTCCTACTACTCTCCCCTTTGCTCATTCCACTCTAGCCACACTGGCTTCTTGGAGTGTTTTTTAAACACACCAGGATTCCCCTGGCCTTGGGGTCATTGCACTGGCTGTTTGCCTGGAATGTTCTTTCTCTCAAAATCCACATAACACCCTAATCTCCTTCAAATCTTTGTTCAGTGATGCCTAGTTAAAATTTCAAGCTACACTTCCTCATCCACCCTGGCAGTCCTTACCCCCTACCCCATTTTTACTTGCATATAACTTATCATCTTGTAGCATACCATATGTTGCAGGCTAATTTTCAAAATAGTTACTGCAGTATTTCTAGTCCATGTGCTCTTCCAGAATCTTGCCATTCTCCAACAAGATGCTGAGTCTATTTCTCTTCCCCTTGAACCTGGAAGGGACTTGGACTGCCTCAATGAATAGAATCTAGGAGAAATGATGCTGGATGATTTCTGAGGCTTGATCATAAAAGCAGAGATAGTTTCTGTCTGGTTCTCACCATGTTGTGAGAAAGCCCAAATCAGCCCATGGGGAGACCGCGTGGAGAGGAAACTGATGCCTCCAACTGATAGCCAGCATCAACCACCAAACACGCACTCAACCTTTCAATTGTCCAGCTGCAAGGGGAGCAGAGACAAACTGGCCCCACTGTACCTGTCCAAATTCCAACCCACAGAATCTATGAGCACAATAAATGGTTGTTTTATACCACTAAGTTTTGGAGTAATTTGCCATATGTAACAACACTGAAACACTATATATTTCACTTGCTTATTATGTTTATTGTCTGTTTCCTTCCACCAGAATATAAACTCCACAAGGGGAGAGATTTTTACCTTTGTGGTGTATTAGTACATGCCAGATGGTCAGTAAACATTTTTTCATTAAACAAGGACACAATTTTACACAAGTTTTCAAAGTATCTGCACATATAAGTTTAAATTAACAGTAAAAAACGTTCAAATTAATGATAAAGGAAGTTTTTCTGAATTACATGTGAACTTAATTATCCCTGACCAATTCTCAGAAATATCCCACTAAATATATACTGCTATTGTCATTATAATATGATCATTTACTTTTTCCTCATGTCTTGATGCCTGAAGGAAGGACATAGTGATTAAACTTGTTAAAGCTCACCTCACACTGGTTATTTAGCTTGGTGGATGTGATGTCCAACTGTTGGTACTGTTCCTTTAGCTTTGAAAATTCAGCTTCTAGTCTTGTTTGTTCCAGTTTGGAATTATTTAGAAGACTTTTTAAGTTTTTATGGTCAGTTTGTAAAACTTCAGTCTCTTTTAAAAGCTGATTATATGTGTGATTCAACCTATAATTAGAAACCATAATAGAAATAGAATTAGATTCTCTTAATAGTTTTCATTGTAATTTACACAATGTGAAATGCTGTAAATCACATTCAGACGTACTCAGAGAATACAAAAGACTCTTTTGCCAGTTACTAAACTTATGAAGAATCAGTTTCTAGTCTGTAAAAACTAGATTAAAAAAAAAGTTGAGTACATTTCCCTTGAAAAGAAATCCTTCAGCATTTAAATACATTGAAGATGTAAAGATACTCATAATTTTATCATATAAAATTTAAAGTAGTAATAAGAAAATATTTAGATACAAGGACAAAAGAGAAAATGACCAATCCAGTTTTGATTTCACAGAGAATTCAAAGATTCTAAAATTCAACATGAAAATTCAAGAAAGATCAGATGGAGAGAATTAATGTAGTATGAGCTATGATAGTCTATCAATCTTATTGCCAGATAACTGAGATACATAGGCTTAAATCAAAATTTTAGTTACTGAGATATCTGCAGTTGTGGCAAATTATTCATATTTATACAGTCTCCAATTATTAATGATAAATTCTGGATTTTTTATAAAAATTAAACTATAGCCTTTTCTGTTTCTTTCCACTATTATACCTTCAGAACAAGGTCCACTGATCTCCAAGAGCAGAGATCAGCAAGCTTTTTCTGTAAAGGACCAGAGAGTAAATACCTTACATGGGCTTTTTGAGTCACATGTACTCTACAGCATGCTCTTCTCTTTTGTTTTTCCCATAACCTTTTAAAAGGTAAAAATTGTTTCTTAGTTTGGGAGCTATACCAAAATAGACTGCAAGCTGGATTTGGCCTGCTGAGGTGACTGTAGTTTACCAACCTTTATCTTATGGCATTAAGATCAGGAACCACAAAAGGGGGAGGCAGCCAAAAAAACAAAGTTTTTGCTCAGGGTGGTACTTGTTCAGAACATCTAGTAACTTACTTCAACTCATTCCCAAAAGAATTTGAGTCAGCTTACAAGAATTATAAGTGATAAAATAACACATTAAAAAAATCAAACACATTAAAAAAATCAGATAACACAGTAAAAAAATAAAAACGGCAAGGCCATAAACATACAGTAAATGCTCCATAAAAAGGTTGAATCCATGAATGAATGCATGCCATGAGAATAATAGCTGGTCAAACCTCACTGACACCTACAGACAGCTACATAGTATAACAATACATATGGATATCAAAGATTTTCCTACTGATGCTTCATGGTGGGCAAGATATGAAGAGATAAACAATGTCCTCAATATCATCTCTATGGGAAATGCTAAAATGAATTGTTTAAGAAAGTTTTTTACACTGTCCCTCAAAGCTGAGAACATTAACACCAAAACGCAATTCAGTGAACACAATTCTAAAGAGGCCAAGACAGCCTAGTACACATTAAGAAAGTTTCTTGGTACAGCATTATCTAATATTAAAACTTAGGCTATTTAGAGGAATGGATAAACCATTGTTCTTCAGACAAGTCTTCATAAATATCTTTTTTTGGTGAAAGAGCTCTTTCAAGTTTTACTTAAAGGCTTTTCTTCCTTTAGAACACAGACATGAGTATATAAAACCTAGGCAAGAACAGCTTTGGGAGACAGAAAATATTCTACTCAGGATCACTCTTCCCTTTGAAGCCTACAGAACCTTCTGGTTCAAGCTCATCACCCTCAATTTATCCTTATCATTTAGGTTGAGTTCCTTCTCTGGAGGCTCCTGAGTAATGTACACAATTAGATTCCTGGAAAGCCTACCTAAGTTCACAAACTGTCCCAGTTTAGTTTGAATTGTAACAATGGAAAAAAGTTAGGTTCAAGATGCGACTTCCATAGTAAATGCATTCCCCATAGTAAATGCATTCCCCAACGTAACCTGTGTAATAAAAGCGACCCTGTCCTTGTATTCTATAACTTGTTACAATTTGGTCTTCTACTGCATATACTGTACAAATACATTCTTCATTCTAGCTTGGTGTTGAGCTTGTTGAAGTTCAAATCCCCCAGTACAGAATTTCCAGTCGTAACAACTACTAAATTAAAAACTACTGAGCATGAAAATGAAAACGGCTCCAGAAGCTTAGGGATTTTTTTGGTAAAGGAAAAGAAATAAAGGTTTAATTCTAAAAATGGATTGTATTAAATTCATAATGGGACAAATAACACAATAAATGACCCCCATTTGAATTTTGTGTGTTGCCTTTCAGCACTTGAGCTATGGCAGTGTAAGTTGAAGTGCAAACGTTTAGGGTGTTTCAACTTTTCAAAGGTTTCTACAAAACTTTTGAAAACGTACCCTTATGAAGCAGGCTAATTACCAGTTAGCAAGTTTTCATTTTCCCAAGGCTTCAAATTAAAAAATAATTGCCCCATGGCAATATGAGACCATTAATACCTAAGACAGTTAAAAATAAAAGTTATAAATCAATCAGCTAGGAAATTATAAGGCAGCTCACTTGTAGCAACTTCAAAAGACAAGAACTGGGATACCAGACTAGTGAAAAGAGAAAAAGACACAGAATCAGGTTTCATTACATTCTATCTCAATAAAGTACATAAATGCTACCAAAGTACAGAAATATCATTATATAATGTGACTTAAAAACTTAATTAGTTGAATAAATCAAGAGAGAAACAATGAGAGAAAACAGGAAATCCAGGTTTTTGTCTGAGCCATTCCTTAACCAGCTGCATGATTTTGTTGGGTAATTTACTTCTCGCTCTAGGGTCTTTTTTTTTTAAATTCTAAGTTATGGATGGTAGTGCAAAGTGGCAGTATACACTTTGGATGTAATGAATATTATAAAACTAAAATATATAAATATTTATTACCTATCATTTTCACCACAAAGTTTCTTGTATTCTGCAGCTACAGTCTCATGGTTTTTGTTTTCAAGCAGCATTTTCTCTTGTTCCACTTTCAGTGTTTTTTCCAATTCTTCCAACTGTCCTTTCTGTTTTAGTAACTGATTGTAACTGGAAAAAAAGTATTTAGTTTATAATATTTCCTTAGAAAAAATATTTTAGAAATGAAGGAAACAAGAGTAATACTTAATAAGTATCACATAAGACATGTAAATTCATGTAAATTTCCTACATAAATTACCTTAGACCTGTTTAACACATAAAATTTTTTATATTACCCAAAGATAATTGGTTTTAAATTCACAACACAAGAAAATATAATAAATTACCGGTCTTCAAGGTCTTTATGTTCCATCTCAAGATTTTTGTGGGCACACTTTAGTGTTCCATGTTTAGCAATGAGAGACTCATACTCTGAAGCCTGCCGTTCATGAAGAAGTTCCAGCTTTTCATGATCTTTGATCAGAGAATCATAGAGAGATTTCAGGTCTTCTCGCTCTTTGATTACTGATTCATTTTCATTTTCTAAGGAAGACTGCTGGATTAGGAGTTGTGCATTCTGGTTCATAAGTGAGGTACTCTGGGAATTAAGGGTGGAATTTTCAACCTATAAGAATGCAAACTGTTATCAGACATAAGAAAAATAGCTTATGTTGTTCTTTTTTTAAAATAAAAGATTACATTAACTTTAGGAAGTGCAAATAAATCATAGCAGATATATTCACATCATACTGAAAAAATTTGGATTTAGCATCCCAAAGAACAAGGCTACCACTTAATTTTGATTTTTGGTAGGTGTTAACAATATATATTCTACGAGACACGTTTTGGGTTGAATTATTCTGAATGAAGGTGAATAGCAACAATTTGTATTCCACTCATCAAAAAGAACAGAATTTGAAATGCTAGTTTATCATTTTCTAGAAGTTGAGAATTGATAGAACTGAAAAATTACTTGTGAAAACTCAATTGGAAATTTTCTCAAGAGCCTAAATTAAATTAGTATTGCTTTACCATTTGGAAAAGAGTTACAGAAAGAAGAACTTAAAGATTCAGAGAGGGAATTTCTTTTCTTCTGCTCTTTAAGAGGTTTCAGAGAGTTGCACTTCCCCCCACCTAACTGTTCTATCTGAAAAGACACTGGCAGTGTTAAGTGCAAGATGGATCCTTTGAACTAAGGACAAGTTGGAAGAGAAAATTCTCATGCTGCGCTGTTTTCCAATAATTTTAACTGATAAGAAAGCTGTAAAAATAAAATAAGGAATGGTATGCTGCAACCATATTCTAAAGCAAGGATTTCTACCTGATTATTAAATGGGTGAAAGTCCATAAAGTAAACATAAATGAAATTATCTTTTTAAATTTATATTTGTTGAGTGAATTTACTAATTAATATTTAAAGACTGACATTTAAAAAATGTTGATCTCTCAAAGTTTGGCATAGCACTGAAGAGGAATATTTTAATTTATCTTCAATTAATTGTTAAATTCACTAACTAAGAAACAATGTTACCATGTCTAGTCATCCTTATTTTAATAGCATAATTCAAGAGTTTGGTTGCATATCCCCAAAACATTACATTACAACCTGAAGTTTGGCATTCTGTGTCTGAAGAGTAGTATTCTGCTCCTGTAATGACACTGTCTGCCTCTGAAGTGCAAGAATCTGAGCCTGCAAATTATTGTTCTGTGTCTCAAGTTGCTTCAGTTGAGTTTTCAGTGCTTGCTTCTCTGCTTGCAGTGTAGCATTCTTAATAAAGAAAACATACATATTAAAAATAAAAGCAACATCAAACATATTTCTGTTTAACAGATACTAGAATTTTGTTTCAGTATTTATTACAATTACAATCCAAACAGATCCCAACAATCTTTTTTGTTTTTTTTGTGAGGAAGATCAGCCCTGAGCTAACATCCATGCTAATCCTCCTCTTTTTGCTGAGGAAGACCGGCTCTGAGCTAACATCTATTGCCAATCCTCCTCCTTTTCCCCCCCCCAAAGCCCCAGTAGATAGTTGTATGTCACAGTTGCACATCCTTCTAGTTGCTGTATGTGGGACGCGGCCTCAGCATGGCCGGAGAAGCGGTGCATCGGTGCACACCCAGGATCCAAACCCGGGCCACCAGTAGTGGAGCGCGCACACTTAACCGCTAAGCCACGGGGCTGGCCCCCAACAATCTTAAAAGAGAAAAAGACAAAACATTTCCCCTTTAACCCAAATTGTAAATAGATACTTAATCTAAGAAAAAGAAAGCAATAATACTAAAACTTTAATATACCATTGTGTATGTCTGCTTTATAATGTCTGAAAAATAAAATATTATATTCTAAATATATTTATTAACGTAAGAAACCAGAATGGGATTTTCAGTTGTATGGTTTTTATGCTGTTCTAAAGTGCCTAGAGGTGTGTGAGGCTGTGTCTAGCCAATGAAATGCACCTTTTCTAATTGTCCAAAGGTAAATATATATATAGGTGAGCGTTGGTCCCAGGGGTAGCAGCAAAGCTAAGAATTTTATAAACACAAATACTTGGAAGAGAAACAGGAACAATCTTAACCATCTGTTTAAAAAATTTAGTCCATAATAGACCTAACAGATGTTACATATTTTCTTTAGTGATTTTTTTCATAGTATAAAACACTCACTAAAACTCTATTTCATTTATAGAACTTCTGGAGCAAATTCAAATAAAACATACCACTTTCAATTTTTCCAGTACATATGGCCATATTTCAATTTTATAGTTAAATGGTTGAATTACTATGCAAATCATAGATCATTATATTTACTGTGATACATATTAAAATGTTGGTCATGGATATTATATTTTCAGGATTATTTCTAAACAACATTTCATAAAAAAATAAGTTAAGGGGCCAAAACGGTGGCATAGTGGTTAAGTTCGTGCACTCTGCTCCAGCGGCCTGGGGTTCACAGGTTCGCATCCCAGGCGTGCACCAATGTGCTGCTTGTCATGCCATGCTGTGGCGGCATCCCATACAAAGTAGAGGAAGACAGGCACAGATGTTAGCCCAGGGCCCAATCTTCCTCAGCAAAAAGAGGAAGATTGGCAACGGATGTTAGCTCAGGGCTAATCTTTCCCACCAAAAAAAATAATAATAAGTTAAGCATCAAAAAGTACAAATAAAGAACCCTCTAGAAAACTAAAATAAAACTTTAATATACAAAAAGGCCAGAATTTGCACATAACTGCAATATGCATAAAAGTTACAACTGGGGCCGGCCACGTGGCTTAGCAGTTGAGTGCACGCGCTCCGCTAATGGCGGCCCAGGTTCAGATCCCGGGCGTGCACTGACGCACCACTTCTCCGGCCACGCTGAGGCCGCGTCCCACATACAGCAACTAGAAGGATGTGCAACTATGACATACAACTACCTACTGGGGCTTTGGGGAAAAAAAAGGAGGAGGATTGGCAATAGATGTTAGCTCAGAGCTGGTCTTCCTCAGCAAAAAGAGGAGGATTAGCATGGATGTTAGCTCAGGGCTGATCTTCCTCACCAAAAAAAAAAAAAAAAAGTACAAATAAAGAACCCTCTAGAAAACTAAAATAAAACTTTAATATACAAAAAGGCCAGAATTTGTACATAACTTCAATATGCATAAAAGTTACAACTGAATCACAAAAAATCACTTTTGTCATATCTACACTAGGGAACAAAGATAACATTCACTTTATAGGCTTTCATGTTATATACACCACATGTCACTGTATAAAAGACAAATCATGATTTAATCCACGTACTATACCATAAAATCAAAGCTGAGGAAGCAAACTGCTTTAAGATGGGTTTTGATATTGTATTTCTCTTTTGTTCATTTGTTCAAATAAGGAGGATGACAAAAATTTACACTGGAAAAGTAAGATGGAATACTGATGTATTTACATACCATCTTGACACACCAAAGTGAAGCATATTTCACTTACATATGTTAAGTACTATTATCGTGTAGCTCTTTAGACACCAAAATGTACAAACTCTAATGATGAGTCTGGGTATCCCTAGGAGTAAGAAAAATTCCTATAGTCTATAATGAATAGAAGAGATAACTGAGAGTAGAAAGGATATATCAGAGCAGAAAAAAATTTACGATGGAAAAGTATGAGGTTAGCAAATATACTGGCAAATGCACAAAAATTAGCAGTCTAATATAGGGCTAGCCATCTTTATAAACCCATTATCTAAAATGGCTAAAATATGACAACCAAGTAATTTTTCTTCCAACAGAAATTTATTAAGGAAGTCGATGGGAAAAGAGATTTACCTTATAGAACTGTACATGCCAGCTGAATTTTCTGAAATGTAATTATTAATCTGAGTGATAGAGGTGTGTGTGTGTATATATATCACTAAATAATTAAAAATATGTATTCATATATGGCTAATAAATGTATGACAAGATGTAAAATGGCTCACTAATAATTTAAAACATGCAAATTAAAATATTTTCTATCACTTTAACAAAAATTAAAAGGCTGGTAATACCCAATGTTAATCTGGAAAAATAGGTACTCTATTAGTGGGACTGAAAATTTATGTGATTTTGAAAAGCTAATACAATGACATCAATTAAAATTAAACACACACACAGATATAAATATATTCTTTGGTCTATCAATTCCACTGTCAGGAATTTACCACCCTATAAACATGTTACACATGGATTTTCATTGCAACTAAATCTGAAAATAACCTAGATGTCCATCAATGTGGAATTTATATAAATAAATTATGGTAACATCCACCACACTATTGAATAATATGTGGTCATTAAAGAAAATGAGATAGAGTTCTATCTGCTAAAATAGAGAGATCTCCAAGATAACATAACTGAAAAATGCAAATAAGAATACTGTATAGTGTGATCCCACAGGTGTAAATCTGTAAAAGAAATATACTTCTAGGGGCCGGCCCAGTGGTGCAAATGGTTAAGTGCATGCGCTCTGCTGCGGCGGCCCAGGGTTCGCTGGTTCGGATCCCGGGCGCGCACTGACGCACTGCTTGTCGAGCCATGCCGTGGTGGCGTCCCATATAAAGTAGAGGAAGATGGGCAGGGATGTTAGCTCAGGGCCAGTCTTCCTCAGAAAAAAGAGGAGGACTGGCATCAGATGTTGGCTCAGGGCTGATCTTCCTCACACAAAAAAACAAATAAATAAAATAACACACAACTATTTTATTTGTTAGCACGTAAGTTCCTTCAGCTTACTCATCTTTGAAGGATAAATGTTTGTTGAATTTGTTTGATTATTGTTTATTGTCAAATATTTATTGAACTTATTCAGTGAATAGTCATTAAGTGTCTGCTATCTACCAGGCATTATTCTACATACTGAAGGTACGGTGGTGAAAAAGAAAGCTACCTGCTTTCAAGGAGCTTTTTTTCAGTAGAAAAACAACAAATAAATGAATAAAAGATATAATTTCACTAGTGAAAGTGCTATGAAGAAAATAAATAAGACAGTGGTGTGCTAACAAACAGTTTTGGCTGGGGACAGCTACTTCACTGGGGGAAGGGTGCAGGGAAGACCTCTTGCAGGAGATACGTGATATGAGCCTGAATGCGGCGGGAAGCCAGCCATGTATTCCAGGTAGGGGAAGCAAACAGAAAGGCCCTGAGCTAGGAACAAGCAGAAAATGTCAATATGACTAGAATTAATTTACTTATTATGTGCCATGCATTGTTTTGTGTCTGCCAGATATTAACAGATAATAATATTACCCCTAGATTAATAAACAGGGTAGGTGGAAGAGTAGAATAGTATAAGGTCAGAGACATAAGCAGGGCAATGTCAGGAAGGATCTTATAGGACACAGTAAAGAATCTGGATTTTATTCTGATTGAAATGGGAAGCCATTGAAGATTTTAAGTAGGAAAGTGACACGACCCAGATTATGTTTTAAAAAATAACTCTGGCTACTGCACTGAGAATGGGTTAAACTGGATTAGGAATGGAAGACAGGAAGCCAGTTAGGAGGATATTCTAATTGTCCAGATGAGAGATGATGGTACCTTAGACTAGAGTGGTAATAGCAGAGATGGAGAGAAGTAGATGTGTTTGGATTATATTTTCAAGATAGAGTTGATAAAGCTGATGGACTTACATGAGGGTGATAGAGAAAAGTGTATTAAATTATTAGTTCTTTAGTCTTTATATTATAAAATAAATCAGCCAAAGTATAAAATGAACAAAGCTACAAAACCAGAGTAGATAAATTTTCTGAGTTACATATCCAATAATCCTTTATTTTTTAAAAAATTTATTCCTACTAAAAATTTAAAAATACTTACATTTCTTTCTACTTCAATTAATCTATCTTTAACTTTCAGAAGCTCTCTAGTTGTTTCTTGACTTTCTCGCTCCCATTTGCTATCTTCACCAGAAGTCGGAGGAGAGCTCTGTACCATCCTTTCCTCATCTTGTCTCTGTTTGAGAGCTTCATAATTCTTTTTCACCTAAAATTTTATTTAAAATATTTTAATTGGGAGGAAAAAAATCACCAAAGTTATACTTTTCACAACTAATTTGACTCTGCACTGGTCTGGTGAATATGAAAGACGCTTTACTTAAAAACGTGATAAATAACATGTATGATTATCTTTATTATCATGATCACAATTTATGCTTTGAAAAATGCAAATCTTTTCCTCCTAGAAATATTAAATATACTCTGCTTATGTGCCACGATTCTACAACATATTCTGTAATTTCAGGTTGTTTACAATGAAAATGAAAAAAAAAAAAGAATAGATTAACTGGACATAGACATGTTGCTAATACTAACAATTGTTTTTAGAGCCATCTATAGCTGATCTAGAGATTTCAGAGATTCCCACGTAAAGAACAAATAAAGACTTGAAACATGTAATAATTCCTCTTAAAAAAATACTTTAAAGTTGAGGAAGTATCTATATATGTCTGTCCTTTTAAGAAGGATATGTCACCCAGAATGAGCTATGTTAATAAATAAATTAATGACTTCTTTATTCAGATCTTGATCCATATATAATTACTGCAAATTACTTTATAAAAAGGGAGCAATCCAAGGATATATCTTATCCAGCGTTTTCTGGTGTAATTACAACCAAATCCTACTTTAAGAGAGCCAACTCAAAACTAACAACTTGGTCATCTTATATTACCAAAACTGCCGATTACCTAATAGCTCTCTTCAATTTAAAGTGATTACTATTATACTTATCCTGAATCACTAGTTTATCCTAGGAGACATTTATCATAAATTTCTAAATTAACCCCAAACTTTCTATTAAGGCAAGGATATAAATGTTTAAAATAATTCAACATCTAATGCAAACCTTATTAAGAAAGCTTATAACTCAACAATAAATTTTGTTACTATTGACTTACAAAATAATGACATGAGACCAAAGAAAAAAGATGCCAAGATAGAATGTAATTTAAAGCTTGGCAAGTGATCTAACAGGTGTTCTGGGATCCTGATTTTCCAGTTTTTTTGTATCTTTGTTTTTTTTACTTTTAGTTCCCTAATAACATAGGTGGGTGACATCATTTCTAGTCTCCTATTTTACATTAATTTCCCACAGGGTCTTATCCCTAGACTTAGAAAGTTTATAAGACATACGCCATTACTAAGAAGGAGAGCTGAGAGTAAAACTCAAAGCCTTTCATTTTTAGCCCAGTGTCCTTACAACTAAGTTTCAAAAATGGTTCCTTTACCTTATGTATCATTAATCAAAATCTCTAATTTATGTTCACACAGAAAATGACATATTTTCCATCAAGTTTTCTTAGAGGCAACATGTAGGTGGGTCTTGCCTTTTTATCTAATTTATTCATCTCTGCTTTTAACTGGGGTGTTTACACTTTTATATTTAATGTGATTACTGATATGGTTTGGTTTAAAGCTGCCATCTTGCTATTTGCTTTCTATTTGTCCAATCTGTACTTTGTTCCTTTTTTATTTTTCTGCCTTCTTTTGGATTTTTTATGATACTATTTTATGTTCTTTGCTGGCATATTAGTTATACCTCTTTGTCATGCTACGTTAATAGTTACTTTAGGCCTCATACTATTCATATTTAATTTTCATAGTCTATCTTCAACTGATATACCTCTTCACGTATAGTACTAAAAATTAGGACAGTATAAGTCTAGTTGAATACATGTTTACAACAGGAAGCTTTTTATTTATTTACTTATTTTTAAAAATTTATGCCAAAATGGCTGGAAGGGGAAGACGATGGAATTTTAAATCTCGACCTTTTAGACTTGAAATACACATATACCAACCTATACCCTAACCCACTTATTTCCTAGCTTAGTAGCTTCATGAAGTTGACTTTATTTGCAATCTAGTGATACTGCTTAATAGGGTAAAAAATTCAGGAAATAAAGCAGATTAATGAAGCCTGGCACCAAGTTTTACTTTATTTTTTAGATAACCCTTTATATGTTAACTGAGCAAAGTTCTAGAATTTCCTCAGTAACAATATATGTTCCAGGGTAATATCTAAGACAAATACCAGCAATGATGGTAAGGGCAAATAGGGAACAAAATCTTTTTCCCTTTCTGCATGAGAAATTCATCTTTGGGTAACCGTTTCTCAGGAAACCTACTAAAATTGGAATGTTCTATGTTACCAGGCAAGATTGCTTATGGGAAAAATGACCCCCGATTGGTAAACTGTATTCGGACTGGCAGAATTATAAATACCTAATAGGAAGCCATATCTTTGAACTTACTCTGAGTATAGTAACTCTTAAAACTGGTATATCCATTGTGGAGATCTTAAATCTATGCCTTGGGAGTTGTTGCAAGAGATGATGACTGTTGCGCATGAAATCTCAAAAGTCAGGGCAGCTCCTGCACACACCCAATGTGAATCTCATCTTCTTGCACCTGAACTGTCATCTGGTGGGAAGATGACTCTTAGATGACTACGTGAAGATGGACAACTGACAGTGCCTGCTATCTACTTGTATTTCCTATAAGTGTTCTGAATCAAAAGGTTCTAAATGTAGCCTATAGTAATCTTCTCAGTCTGAATGTTTAGTTGACTGTAAAACCATTCTTGGTAGCACTGCGGAGACGAAAAAGGGAGAATAAGCCATAACATGATTCTACCAATCTACCATATACTAACCCTATGGAATGGGCAAGCCCCTTTAATTTTAATTTATTCAAGTAAGGAAAACACACAGTTGTCCCTGCCTTGCTTACTTCACTGGATAATTCCAAATATGACAAGAAAACAGGTCTAGAAAAGACTTCAAATTTATGAGATCAGGTGCTTTCTTATACCACACATACCATTTCCCTCTACATGGCATCCTCATAACCATATCTTTACCTATCAAACTTTTACCTGGATTCTCAATAGGAAAAGAGTGTCAGAGTCAAGTGTCAGTATTGCGACGAGAGCTTTTCCCAATGAAATAAGCCTGCCTTTTCCCCATCTCACACCCACCATTTTGATACGTCCCTAACTGCCTGGGGGACATACACACATGAAACAGGACTGAATAAATTATATTGTATAGACAAAATACAATTTTTCATAACTATATGACAAAGATCTGTTTAAGAATACTCTCAGATTTAAGAAAAAGGAATAGACAAAATATTAATAAAATGATGTTACATTTTTATTTTCTGCTTTACATTTTTCTGTCCAAATATTTGACAATTAAAATTCATTCCAAGGAAATCACTTACTGTTTTAAGTTCTTGGCGCAACTGCTGGTTAAAATTTGTGGATTCTTCTAATCGAGCTTCTAAAGCAGCAATTTTTTCTTCTTTTATTTCAAGGGACTTCTTTAGAGTGGACTCTAATTTTGATTCCAAAAGTTTATACCTACTATCCAAGTATAAAAATAATACAGTTCATCATTGGAGGTCATAAAATTATTTTTAAAGATAATATATGAACACAGATAATGATGCCAATAAATAGGTCTTCTAAAATAATCTTTGTTGGGCCGGCCCCGTGGCTTAGCGGTTAAGTGCGCGTGCTCCGCTGCTGGCGGCCTGGGTTCGGATCCCGGGCGCGCACCGACGCACCACTTCTTCGGCCATGCTGAGGCCGCGTCCCACATACAGCAACTAGAAGGATGTGCAACTATGACATACAACTATCTACTGGGGCTTTGGGGAAAAAAAAAAAAAATCTCTGTTTTAAAGAGGCAAATTAAATTATCCTTTTACTGCCCTACTCCCCCTTTTAAAATATCCCTGGCCATAAAGAAACAAAAATCACTCAGTAACCAGAGCTCCAGAGTACAGCCTAGGTTGTCAAAAGCAAAAATTAATGCTCAAAAAAGGAATCCAGAAGATCTAAGTCTCAAAATATTCCTTTTAGGTGTTTATAAAAATAGAATCTATAGACAGAAGCAGCAGATGGATTTATTATATTATCAAGCATTTGTCTACAATATTAATGTGTAAAGTATTTATACAAGGACATATGAATAGTTACTTAAAACTCACTAAGACTTTGTCTTCAGAGTATAAAGTACTTGCAGAATATTTTAAAAAGGGAATGATATACTAAAGACAGAACACTGGTGACAGAGGGGGAAGAGGCAGATAGATGTGAATGTCAATATTTTAGTTGTCTTTTTAATTGGGGGTTATGTATTATCATGTATATTATTCTTAAGATTTTTTTTTCCAAAAAGGATGGTGCATGAAAACACTTTGAGAGTGAATCATAAACTAGAGATTATGATTAATCTATTTTTTACACCTGAGAACCCTGACTAAACCAAATAAAAACCTAAAGTTATATATATGAGAAATTTTATCACATTCTGCCTTTTACTGTAATTAATTTGTATGTATATATTTTCTTCTCAACCAGATTTTAAGTTAATTGAGAATAGAGAACAAAGGGGCCAGCCCAGTGGCGTAGTGGTTAAGTTCATGCGTTCCGCTTTGGCAGCCCAAGGTTCACTGGTTCGGATCCTGGGCGCGCACCTACTCACCGCTCAACAAGCCATGCTGAGGCGGCATCCCATATAGAAGAGCTACAACTCTACAACTATGATACACTACTATGTACTGGGGCTTTGGGGAGAAAGAAGAAAAAACAGGAAGATTGGCAACAGATGTTAGTGCAGGGCCAATCTTCCTCAAAAAAATTAAAAAAAAAAAAAAGAATAGAGAACAAATCTCACTCATTTTGGTTTCAGCTCGAGTCAACATCTTTAAAGCATTTAATGAGTCTGACTTTGGATATGTTGAATGTGTGATGGTGAGTTGCTTCTGGACTGCCCAGATAGAGATATCCAGTAAGCAGAGAATAATATGGATATGAGGTGAGAGGATGGATGGGAATGCTCAGCATATAGAATGAATGAATAAGAGGTCTGAGAACATAACCCTAGGAAACTATATTGAAAGAGAAGACAGGAAAAGAACTGTTAAAAGAAAAAGACAAGAGTGATCACATAGTACTCTGTTTACAATTCTACCACTAAATTTACTTGGTTGCAATTTAATTGATCTTTTTATACATTCAATTCCACAAGTAGACTATATATTCCTTGATGGCGAGAATAAATATCTTAGTAATTGTATCTTCAAAGGAGGTAAGAGGGAATGACATCAATTGGAAAGATGAAAAGGTTAGACTAACAAAGGAATTAGGAACACCATTTGAGATTAGAGGTAAAGACAGATGCAAATATACATAAATTCCAAGATGGAGGGGATGGAATGTTAAAGGAATTTATGTCTGTGAGCTTTTATTTTCTTTGTGACATTGAGGCTAACTTACTGGCTGAGAAAGAAGCTGGTTTAGTGGCTTAAGACACTTCTTTTCCTGATCCCCCAGATTTGATCATAGTTATTACCTGCTCTCAATTCTACTTCCTAAAAGTTTTAGTTCAATATATATCCTTATCTCCATATCTAATGCTTTCATTATATAAATAAATATGTGTGGATTAATAAATGCATCACATCTTGCCTAGACTATTACAACGGCTTCCTAACTGGTCTCCATGCCTCCAAATTTGCCTCTTTTTTAACCCATCTTTCATGTCACTCTAAGAATTGCTCACCACACGTTTGTGCTTTATTTGCATGGAATGCCCAATGCCCTTCCCCAGCATTTCCACCTTGCAAATTTCTGTCATTCTTCAAGGTTCAGCTGAAGCATTATCATTTCTTTGATGCTTGATGATTAGCAGATAATAAGAACTCAGTTAGCAGAAAATAAGAGCTCAGTTAACAAGACTAATTGTATGAATTAAGGTTTGGGAAGAGGTGCCAAACAGTATGAAGGGCCATCTAGAGCTGGGTTCATAAATTTGTAACAGGGTCAGTTAGGGCAGCTACATGGTCTACTCCAATTTTTTTTTTTCTTTGCACTCTACTCTTTAAATGTCTTACACATGGCAGGTAATAAATCTGTTTGAATAAAGAAATGATGCATATTCAGTATCTATATTAAAAGATAATCAACTAAATTGGCCCTTAACCATAGGTTTAACTCAAATAAAAAATATTTTCTCATGAAATATCTGTATAATTAATTCAATTATGGTTGCTTGAATTGATTGCTAGAATAAATGCCTCAAATTACCTCTCTTTGTTATTACAGAACTAACCTTTAGAAGTATCAATCTATTCTATTAACTTTGAATATTCTCAAAATTACATAAACCCCATATAATCAGCATTAATTTCTTCTATATACATTTAACATAGAATATAAATGCTTATTAGAACAGTAATAATGGGTAGATGATAAAATACAAATTAAATAATTACAAAAATTCCAATGAATTAAAATTTAGTCTACATAAAACAATATTTGTAACAATACACACTTCTATTCTAGCTAGAATCACGTGGCAAACGAGATGCTAAATAGTAGGCTACTTGAAAATTCGAATAACTGTTCGAGATAGACTACAATTACCATGGGAGAATATAAATTTTCTTTAAACCTCTATTGATCATTCTCAAAATTAAAGAGTATATAAGTTAATTTTTTACTCTGTTTGTCAAGCCTTAGTTTTCCACATTATTTTTATACCTAATTCTTTCTCAGTATATTTTCCTTTGTTTCATACTTTTCCTCCATTCTCTTTAAGTCCACCTTTTGGCACACAAAAATCAATGAAAGAACTGAGGCATTTAAGCACATGATTCAAATAAAAAATAACTTGCTTAAATTGACTGTGCATTTCACAAGAGAAGGGTTTGTTTGTTGTTAACGTCTCATTCTACTTTTACAGGCAGTTATAGCCTCTGATCTTCTGCTACCTGGGCGGCATCCTGTTTTCCTATAATGTAACTGTATTTATTTATTTTTTATTTATTTATTTTTTTTGTGAGGAGATCAGCCCTGTGCTAACATCCGCCAATCCTCCTCTTCTTTTTTGCTGAGGAAGACGGCCCTGGGCTAACATCTGTGCCCATCCTCCTCCACTTTATATGGGACGCCGCCACAGCATGGCTTGCCAAGCAGTGCGTCGGTGCGCGCCCGGGATCCGAACCTGCGAACCCCGGGCCGCCGCAGCGGAGCGCGCGCACTGTTAACCACTTGCGCCACCGGGCCGGCCCCAACTGTATTTATATAGTAACATTTTAGCATTTTTTTTTCTTATATCAATATTAGGTTGTCTTTATCTGATTTTTTACTTTTTTTCCTTACAGAACTTTCTCTAAGAGAAGAAAGGAACCAGAAATGGGGTGAAATACATAAATGTATTCTGTAGCTAGTACAGGAAAGAATCAATATTTGAGCAAACAAATATAATTTCAACTGTCACCAAACAGACTTAAAACTCACCTGTCATCAGTACTTTGCTCATCACGTAAGAGTCGCTCTTTATTTAACCCTATCTTCTCAAGCTCATGAGTTAATTTTTCAAGATCATTATTCATTTGTTGGGTCTTCAATTTTTCACTGACCAAATCCTTATTTTAAAAGGAATGCAAAACTCACATAAGTATAAATAGCATAGACATCTAAGAAATTCAGCCAAAATTCTAATTACCACCATCCAGATATATACATAATTCAAACCCAGAAAGACAAAAATGTTGAACTTTTCCTTCATCATTAAAAAGTGGTTAACAAAATTATCATCTAGTTCAAACAAAGCTGTTTTCCTTCTTTCTTTTGCCAATACTTTTTTTCAACTTTTTAGTGTTAAAAACTAAAAGGATAAACTCTTTACTTGTGAATACAAACCTTAGGTTTGAGAACTGTGGGGAAAAAAAACACATATCCATTAACTTTTTAACAATGAGCTAGAACTTTGGTGCACATTTCTTCCTGTGAATATATGTTGGATACAACACCCTTCTCTCACCACAAGCACCACTCTCCCAGTGGAAGAGGCTTAAGATATCGATCTGAAGAACTAGCGGGAAGGGCTGGCCCTGTGGCATAGTGGTTGAGTTTGGCATGCTGCGCTTCGGTGGCCCAGGTTCGCGGGTTCAGATCCCAGGCAGGAACCTATACCACTCGTCAGCCACGCTGTGGTGGCGACCCACATACAAAATAGAGGAAGACTGGCATGGATGTTAGCTCAGGGCTAATCTTCCTCAAGCAAAAAAAAGAGGAAGATTGGTAACAGACGTTAGCTCAGTGTGAATCTTCCTCACCAAAAAAAAAAAAAAAAAGAATTAGGGGGAATTCTTAGAAGATCAGGCACAAGGACCCTGTTGTTTATGTTTGTGAGACTGTAGAACAGAAAGAAAAAAAATGAAAGGCTAAGAAAGTTCCCTCTCAATGCCTCTTTAGCAGAAATGCAGACTTCCAATGTGACTTTCTGCCAGAATCTAACTAAGATACTTTCTAATTGAACTTAAAGGGTTATCATATATAGTATAGCACAGGGACACCAAAAAAAGAGCCAAGCATGTGATCTTCTGATTTGCACCAACTATATTTCACAGGACCTATTGCCAATCCACTCCTATAAATTTCAGAATTCTTCTCAACACATAGATCCAAGCAACTACCAATTGTTCATTGTTGACCTTTAAGTTCAACCTGATTTGCTTGCCCTGGCTTAGAGGTCAAAATTTATGGGGCTTTGGAATCTGAAAGATTTGAATTTGAATCCAGCAATCCAACTCTGCCATTTATTAGCCGTGTGATCCTAAGTAAGTTACTTAATATCTCCAAACCTCAGTTCTCTAATCTAATGGAGATAATATCTATAGAGGATTGGTCATAAAAATTATACAAATATACATAAATACAACTTATGAAGTCCTTAGCCCAGTACTTGGCACATAGTTAGCATTCAATAAATACAAGCTATCATGCTTCCTGTTATACTTAGCATTCAGTAAGAGTCTTGATCAAATATTTTAATATTATTTTGAAATAAAAGTATAAAATTATAATGTAACAACTCAGATACCACATGGAAACCTTATTACTACAATTTCTTAAAAAATACAATTTATATGTACTTCTTAGTTTAACAAAAAGCAGGAAGCTTGGAAACTGTTTCTAGTTCTAATTTCAAGTTTCTACTTTGAACCATAAACAGATGATGCAAATTACTGACGAGTTCCAATAAAACTTAAAAGAAGCCTTGAGTTACAAATATAAAAAATATTTGCCTTAAATTTAGGTAAGTATATTTACCTCACGTAGTGTAACCAAAGTTTTTATATCAATAGTTGCTCTTTTCACAAGCTCCTTATTTTCTTTCTCTAATTCTTTCAGACGAATGCAGGATTCTTTATAAATACCAATCTCTTTGAATAGGGTTTTGTTTTCTTTTTCCAAATTTCCAATTTTCACATTATTTTCTTCTAACGTGGTATCTTTTATCTCTGCTTGTTGTCGGAGTCTCTTGTTTTCCTTCTCCAGTTGTTTTTTATCCTTTTCTAGTTGAGAAGTCTCTTGCTCTAATGATTTATTTTCTTTTTCTAGCTGTTCTAGTCTTTTGCTAGATATTTTTAACTCTTCTAGGTTTTTTTGCAATGTTTGATTTTCCGTCTCTAAGTCTTGTAGTTCACTCTCTAATTGTTGAATTTTTTTATTGCTGTTTTCTAGAGCTTTTTGTAGCCTTTGATTTTCTGTATCTAAACCCTGGTAGCTAACTTCTAAGCGTTCTGTTTTCTTGAAAGATGCTTTCATGAGCTCTAAACCCTTCTTAAGTTGCTCTTTTTCACTTTCCAGTTCTTTATTTTCTAGTTGTAGCTGAGCCATTTTCATGCTTGCACACTTCAAAGATTCCACATTCCTTCGCAGTTCTAAGTTTTCCTCATCGAGTTGGGAATTCTCTTTTTCTAGGGATTCTAACTGAAAAGTAAGATTTTTAAAGCTATCCAATGTTTTTTTTAATTTCCTATTTTCTCTTTCTAGCTCTGAATTTTCTTGTTCTAAGGCCTCAATTTTTTCACAAGTAATTTTTAAATTGGTTATCTTTTTCTGTAACAATTCATTTTCTTTTTCAAGATGGTGCAATTCGTTTTCAAGCTCCTCTGCTCGTTCTCCTTTCTCTTTATAATGTTCCAATTCTTTTCTAATTTGTCTTTTTTCAAATTCAGTCTTGCTTAGCTTGCTACTTGTTTCTTTGATAGATTCATGGAGAATTTTATTTTCTTTTTCAATGTCTTTCACCCTTGCTTCAGCACTTATCTGGGAGCGCTGCCTTAAGGAAGACACAGTTTGATTCAGATGTTCATTTTCTTGTTCCAATATTTTAATCTAATTTTTAAAAAGAAAGGAGAAAATTAAAAACTTAATTGAGCAAAAACTCAATATTTTAAATTACATAGTTTTTCCCTTTCAAAACCTAACAGAGAAATCAGAACAGAAAACTGTGCTAGCCTGCAAATAATTTTGACAAATGTTTACTGCGAGGCCACTGTGTACATGTACTGCCAGGTTGTTAAAGTTCATGTCTTTAGGAAGTTCATAACATAAAGGAATGGTCAAGAAAGGTGTATTTAATATTAACTGAAATGATCATCAGATTATTTATAGTTACATGTGTCAAGTACAAATATGAATACAGGTGAAACATACACACATATCTTCTTGAGGATATAAGCTTCTCCTTTCATTAAATAAATTTTGCAACGCCTATACACAGTGGGTCCTCAGTTAATATTTGCTGTATTAGATATTTGCTGTATTAATATTTGCTGTATATATATATATATATATATATATATATATATATATAGGTGTGTATGAGTATGTATTAATTTCCCAAAATAATTATAATTTGAAAACATCAAAATAACAAAATCCCCTGATACATTTGAAAACTAATCTATACGATTTATACTATGGCTTAATATAATGGTTCTCAAAATTTAGTGTGTTAACCCCCTGAGAACCTTGTAAAAGTGCAGATTCATGCTTAGCTCTGGAATTTTTGTTCTGTAGTTCCAAAGAAATCTGTATTTTTACAGGCGGCCTGAGGACTATACCTAGATAATATAAAACAAATCATTTTACTTCTAAAAAATGAATAGAAATTTTAAAATAGCAAGTCACTCAATCTATCCAGTTGTCATTTTCCTCAAGCAAAAAATGAGAATGACCAAAAAACACTTGAAAATAAATTTGAAAGTATCCAAGATGGTTGCTGCCATCACTTCTCCCTCTTTAGTGGGGTCAGGGTACAGCTGCATTTCTCCCCAACAATTTCTCCCCAACTTCACTCAGGGACTTTAGAATTTGCAGCCCAATTCCACAGACACTTGAAAGCTCAGGTACTACAAAATTTTATACTAAATAATTATTAATGACATTGGCAATTTTAAATATTCTAAGCTTTCCTTTCATCTTTCCTAAAACACATGGGATAGAAAATGAGATAAAACTATAGTTACTTCAAAATCTAAAAAATTCTAAAATATTTCCCTTGAACGTTATATGAACATTTTGTTTGCATAAACTTTAAAATAACTTTGTTAGTAAATTTTAAAATACATCGTTTAATAGGAAATTTATGAACCTGTCTCTCTGAATTTTCTCTAAGTGTTTCAATTGTTTTTTCAAGCTGAGCTTTCTCCTTCATTAGATCCTTGCTTAAATTCTGACAATTCTGAAGACTTTGCTTTTCTTGAATAATCTCATTTTCAAGAATTTCAACCTGGAGAAAATTAAATCACAAAACAATATATCGTTAAATATTTCACAACAGTGGAAACATGTCAAAATAAAAGATAATAAAGGATACTGCTTGGGCCGGCCCCGTGGCTTAGCGGTTAAGTGTGCGCGCTCTGCTGCTGGCAGCCCGGGTTCGGATCCTGGGCGCGCACCGATGAGCCGTTTCTCTGGCCATGCTGAGGCCGCGTCCCACATACAGCAACTAGAAGGATGTGCAACTATGATGTACAACTATCTACTGGGGCTTTGGGGGAAAAAAATAAATAAAATTAAAAAAAAAAACATTAAAATGACGTTTAAAAAAAAAAAAAGGATACTGCTTAAAGATTGATGAAGAAAGGATAAAATCAGTTTTAATATCCAAACAGTGAAATTTAAGAATTCAGTAGAGAAATTCAAGTAATAGTCTAGGCTAAAAATTTTAGCAGCTGTATAAAATATGCAGACATGACTATCTTTCTCATCCTCTGCATCTTTGAAGGCAAATTTCTACTTCTAAACACAAAGACAAATCCAATTGAATACATGATAAGTATGTGCTATATGAAGACTGTTCAAATCTTACTGAAAGACTTTCTTGGCTTGAGTGAATTTGTAAAGTAAAATTTTATTTATAGTCAAGGAATTCAGTGAACAATAAGAAAGACGAGAATACAAAAAGCATGAAGGAAGAGGTGAGAAATGGTATAAGTTTAATAAGGAAACAAAAGGGATTTGGTTTAAAATAAAAAGGAAAGAGGGAGAAAAAAGGAGAATAATACTAGAGAAAAAAGAGCTGAACAAAACTCCAGCAAATATTTATATTCTAGGATGAAATTTACTTTCAATTACAAAGTTTAAAGATACAATAAAATATGTGGTTAATAAGTATGAAGAAGCAAATTCAAGTTCAAAATATGCCAAACCATTGATTTTTTCATTATTATATAACACAGTCAAACCAGGTAATAAAAAAAAAAAAGAAGATTTAGCTATATAAAATATTCCACTTCAGGTTTAAATAGTACTTAAATCCTTATATCAATGGTGAAGAATTCTAAGAATTCTAATAGTCCTACACAAAGCAAGTTGAATTTTTCTATTTTAATATCAATGGAAGATGACTGCACAAGGAAACAATCTTCCAGCAATATCTCAAAAGCATCAGGTCACAAATCTTATCCAGTAACTCAATTCAACATTAATATACACGTTCAGGAAGCTTTTAGCTATTAACTAATTAATCTGGTTCTCCTATTATAGATTGAAATATATGGATAATAATTATTTAATTAAACTCATTTGTTGTTTTACATCAATGAAATTCAAGTGAATCATTCAATTTACAAAAGAAATCTTTCATACAATGAACTTACCAAAAATTGCTAGAATCACTAAGAATTTACTAATTAGACCTCAAAGCTAATTTCAAAATCAAATAACTTACAGATCCCATTATAATGACAACCAAAATAAAACTGTTCCAAGTTCTAAATGGCCACTCCTACTCCCACACTATATTGATTGTCAAATGCTTATTAAGATTATTTGGTTAATGAATTAAAGATGATGCAAAAATGTTTTAAAAAAGTAAAAATCTTACAAGAAAAATCAAGAAGTCTATTTGCGTTACCTAAGGCAGTGGTTCTCAAAGCATGGCTCCAAAACAGCAGGATGAGCATCACCAGGAACTTCTTAGAAATGAGAACTCTTAGCCCCCACTACCCAATCAGAAACTCTAGGCATGAGGCTCAGCAATCTGTATTTTAACAGGCACTACAGGTGATTCTGATGCATACTATAGTTGAAAACAACTGGTCTAAAGGATAGGGAGATTTTTATAACTGAGTCTGGAAACCTAGACTCTATCAAAGGAAAAACTAGACATGGTTGATTACATACAGAAATAAGAACTAATTCATAAGGACATATGAGTAAGAATATTTATTACAGTATTGTTCATAGTGAACAAGAACTGGAAACAAAAGTGATAGCACATTTGGGGGAGTAGATGTGATGGAGGTGTTCATGATAAAAACATCATATATGTTTTTATGATACAATTCTATTTATGTAAAATGTGTGTGTGTATATGCAAAGATATGCAAAAATAAATTACTTGGTCTAACCATCACTCAATTGGAATATTTCTGTTTAACCAAAGACTACCTAAAATTCAGGTTTCATAATGTCTAAATTGTGGTCTTTAAATATCATTTTCTACTAAAAGGCACAAAGGCTTTTTGGAGAAACGGCTGTTTCCAGGTCTGGGGCAGAAATGTTCATAAGGAGCACAGAACATTTTGTCATGGCAGAAACCAAGGATGCTCTTAAGGAGTTTAAAGGTCGTGTCATAAGGATTCAGAAAGCAGCTTAAAGAGCTGAGATAGTAAGAAAAATAAATGCAGGGCCGGCCCCGTGGCTTAGTGGTTAAGTGAGCGCGCTCCGCTGCTGGCGACCCGGGTTCGGATCCCGGGCTCGCACCGACGCGCTGCTTCTCCGGCCATGCTGAGGCCGCGTCCCACATACAGCAACTAGAGGGATATGCAGCTATGACACACAACTATCTACTGGGTCTTTGGGGGGAAAAAATAAATAAATAAAATCTTTAAAAAAAAAAGAAAAAAAAAAGAAAAATAAATGCAGTGGATTGAAACACTTCAAATATTTTTAAATCCATGAGTTCATAATGACATAAAACAAACAACAAACTCACTCATTAATTATCTCAGGAGGATATGAGCAAACCAATTCATTATGAGGAAACTAGTAAATAAAGGGAATCATTTATCCTGCTTTTTCCATAAGGGGTGTTCCTCAGAGTAACTGATGGTGGTCGTTTTTTTTAAACCAACAGTTTTTAAAAGAAGGTTTTTCTTTCTAGAAATACTCTAGCTACCAAATTAAGAAGGGATGATATAATTATAATATCAGGATGTAGCAACCTCTGCTTAATTAAAAGATCTAAGCAAATGGTTTTTCCATGACAACCAACATCACAAAAAGACAACCAGACACGTGCCTCCTGATTGAAATATATATATTCCTTATGAATATTCTCACTAAAAACTTAATTTGAACCTGATTAAGCCTACAGTTAAAACAGGAAATACAGGGGACAAAAGAACTTGCTAAGTGACACAAAAAGGATGCAGTCAGCAAAATCTAGATTGTAGGGAAACTCTATTAGATAAACAACCTGGTTTCCTCAACACAAAAAGTGCTAGGAAAAAAGAGTAAATCTATAGACTAAAAAAGACTTAAGGGACACATCAGTTGATTGAACATATTGATCTTATTTGGATTCAGATTCAAACAAAACATAAAAAAAAACCCAAATCATAATACAATTGGAGAAATTGAAATGCTGACCAAAAATTATTAATGTATTAAATGTAATAATGTCACTGTTCTTGTTTTTTAAAAAATTCCTTACTTTTTAGAGATATATTTGGAGATACTTATTAGTGAAATGATATGATGTCTAGGATTTACTTCAAAATCTTCTAGTGGTTGTGGGGAGAGCAGGCAGGGGTAAAAATAAAATTGACTATAAGTTAATAATTGTTGAAGCTGAATAATGAGTATAGGAGTTCATTCACTTCACATTTATGCATGTTTGAAAATTTCCATAAGTTAAAATTGAAGGTACATTAAAAACTGGAAAATAAATGTTCTACCACAGTGCTATTTATTTATACATTTACATATATTTTTTAACATTACATTAAACATTTTTATTTACCTTTTTACTCAGTCTTTGATTTTCTTTTTCAATTTTCAAGATTTTGGAAGTGTTGCCTTCTGCAGAATCCATAGTACTCCGAAGCTCTTCTACAGTTTTTGTCAAACTCTGGTTTTCCATCTCCAACTTCAATAATCTACTTGATGTCAACTCATTCACCTCATGGCCCAAGGATTTCTGTGGTGCTATAATATTCAAAAACATGTCATTGGTAAAACTATCTTTACTTTTTACTATTTAAAATATTGAGTGTAAATGCACTACGTCATCTGGTCCTTAACTTTATAAAAAATTTATAAAGTTATACAAGATAGATGCAATGAAAAAAATAACAGATAAAAGGTAAATCTTGAATTTGTAATGCATCCATAAGCATTCTAGTGAAAAAAGTACAAAATTTAGACTGAAGAGACTAGAGTTCCAGTTCTAGTTTCATGGGAAATTAACTACTTGACAACTCCAAGCCACTTTAACCTAATCTTAGATTACTCGTACAAAATATAGTTATTGCCCAGTGTATCTCAGAAAGTCACTGTGTGACTCAAATAAGTATAAAGCATATCCTATGCCACACCTTCAAAAATTTAAAGGAAGACAGTTTGAGGGAAAAAAAATCCTAATCTGATTCTGAGAAAGGCCAGACAGTATACACTGGTCCCCTTGAAAGAGTCTTTCTGTAAATGAAGAATCCCTGCTACACTTAAGTGTAGAGAGCAACATCTACTCCATTTTGCCAAGGGAAACCATCTCTCTAAGTAGATTTCAGCACTACATTTTTTAAAATAAGAAAACTCAGTTTCTAGTTCTGTAAATGATGCTCTCCAGTAAGCCAAAATAATTATTTTTTAATAACCCTATAGCAGATTCATTAAATATTTTGATTATATAAAAATATTAGGATTTACAAATGAAATATGATGCCAAAAATTTATTTTGAAATCCTAAATTTCAGGAAGAGAAATGGATAAAAGTACAGGAAGGCATTTCTAGGTCTGTCTACTTTTAAGTATGTTTGAAATTCTCCATCATAAAAAGCAAAGAAATACACACACACACACCATATATCCCCACAAGCTTACATTCTTTTCAAAATTAGGTAGGGTAAAATATCCCTCAGATTTTAAGTGAAGAAAGTCTCAATTCTTATCTCCAGCTTTTGTTCTAGTCAGCATATTGTTACTCTTTTATTTGAAGCTGGTATACCACATAGTCACTGACTTTTTAAATTCCATTAGCTGTCCAAGTCTTCATTAGTAAAACTCTAATTCATGATTTGTAGTCATGCTTTTCAAATAAACAAGATCAGACTACACTACATGATATACCTTAATAATACTTTCAATACTATGACTGTGCTTCAAAGAAGCTGCAGGTCAGACTACGAAGAACTAAAAAGGATGCTTATACACATTTTTAACAACATGGGAGAATGCCTATGTGGAAAAAAGGAACCTGAATTGTATATACACATGGATCTGATGACGTCTAAAATATCTATGTATGTGTAGAAAAATTCTGTAAGCAAATTTTTTAAAATATAAAAGTGATTTAGAAATCATTAGTGACTAATTTTCTCGTTTATATTTTTCCACATTTTGCAAATTTTCTAGGAAGTCCCTTGTATAATTAAAAAAACCAAAAACTACCCCACATTAAAACAAATATTGAGGTTCATGACTCCAGCTAAGATCAAATGCAAAACAACTGTGATATAATAATGATGATGATGATGATGATAATCATTCAAATGCTATTTACCAGGTAATAATAATAATAATAATAAAAACATTCAAATGCTTACTAATTACCAAGCACTGTTCTAAGGACTTCATAAGTATTAACAAATCCAATCCTCAAAACAACCCTACAAGGGGGGCCGGCCTGACGGTACAAGCGGTTAAGTGCACGCGCTCCGCTGTGGCGGCCCAGGGTTCACCGGTTCAGATCCCGGGTGTGCACTGACGCACTGCTTGTCAAGCCATGCTGTGGCGGCGTCCCATATAAAGTGGAGGAAGATGGGCATGGATGTTAGCCCAGGGCCAGTCTTCCTCAGCAAAAAAGAGGAGGACTGGCAGATGTTACCTCAGGGCCGATCTTCCTCACACACAAAAAAACAACCCTACAAGGTACTTACTATTATTGTTCACACCTAACAGATGAGGAACCTCCTAACAGTGTAATTTCAACTACTTTAGTAGTAGAAAACATTTAAATCTTAACTGCTTTCTTTGTAACTCAGTGCACAATGAATACAACAAAAAAAGTTCCACAAATATTTTCAGTGACACTTATCAGCGAGTTCACGGACTGAATATCATCATTTAGTATGTAGTGAATTTACATGGGGTCCCAGAATTTGAAATTAGGTTCTCAAGTGTAAAATCAGGAAAAAGCCTAATGGTAATAAATATGATGAGTCCTCTGTAGAAGTAATTATTCTGTAAGCACAAGAGTACAAGCTCTCTCATACCTTATGTCTACCTCAGCACCATGTCCTCAGGGCCTGGTATGATATTTTACACATGGTAAGTGCTTAATAAATATTTGCTGAAGGAAGGAAAGCAGATGGAATAATCTAATACTGGGTAACTGAGGCATTATGGAACCAGTCTAATTCAAATAAATGTGACTTGAGTGTAATTTCAATCAAGTATATCACTATTAGCATACTCAAAGCTATAACCCAAATAACTGTGTGGTATGTATATGCCCAGCTTTACGAAAGAGGACAAGTCAATACGAAGCCTAGGCAAAAAGAACCAAAAGTTAAAAATTTATCTGGGGGGAGGGCCGGCCCCGTGGCTTAGATGTTAAGTGCACGCACTCCGCTACTGGCGGCCAGGGTTCGGATCCCGGGTGTGCACCGGCGCACCGCCTCTCCGGCCATGCTGAGGCCCCATCCCACATACAGCAACTAGCAGGATGTGCAACTATGACATACAACTATCTGCTGGGGCTTTGGGGAAACAAAAGGAGGAGGATCGGCAATAGATGTTAGCTCAGAGCCGGTCTTCCTCAGCAAAAAGAGGAGGATTAGCATGGATGTTAGCTCAGGGCTGATCTTCCTCATAAAAAAGAAAAAAAAAATTTATCTAGGGGTATTTCATTATCTCCAGGGTATAATTGTGCTAGACTGGTTGGTGAGTATAATACTAAAGTAGAGACTACATACATTGATGAAAGTAGCCATAAAGATCCTTAACTTGCTTTACTGTGGCTACATATTCACCTAAGAATTTTCCCACTATGTTTTGACTTGTGTAAACATGAATCAGGTTTGCCTATAGTCAAAGAACATGTTGACTAGCTAATATAACTCTTCTGTTCTATTTAGTAGATGGCTATATTTCTCAAAATAAATTAATAAACTAGTATTCCAGCTTCTCATAATATTAAAATGAAATAGTGCCTAAACAACTGATCAAATCTGTTACTACACTCGTAAAAGTTAAGTTGTAAGACACGCAAAGATAAGGACCAGACCCAGAAATGTGAAAATAACATATTACTCTGTGAAATCATATCCAGGGAGACAGCTGGCCTTCTGAGACAGCTCCAGCTAGGGAGAAAAAGAACTACAATAAAATGTACAACTTCATACAAAATACAACTGCATTTAAACATTCATCCATTTAAATAAAACAACATTGGGAATACCTTCAGAAAGTTCACTAGTTCTAGATATTTGTTCCAGCTCCCAGCCAAGATGTAATGATTCATCCATACTTTGTTTCTGTGCCATTTCCAAAGTCATATTTTCTTCCATTAATTCTTCAATCTTTTTTCTATCCATATCACGTTCCTTTTTTATTGGCAGGGAGTAGGGAGAGAAAAGAAAGCTAAGAAGCAGTACAATTTAAAGCTAATATTTTATTACCTATAAATTTTGTTTATCAGAAACTGAATAATATGAGGATAAATTGTTTGAAGGCAATAATCAATTATTATAATTATTACTACTGGTCATTATAGTGATCAGGCGTCTGATATCCTTTTAAAGTGATCTTTGGGGACACTGAAAACTCATCTTCAGAGTCAATATATTGTTTTAGTGATATAACAAAAGATTTCAGACCCAATGCTAAATTTTAGCAAATGGTTTTATTTCTATATTTTAAAGGCAGGTTTACACAATAGTGTATCAGGGTTTTTGAAAAGTAGAAGACAAAATTAACAAATGATAACCCTCTGTAACAAAAGCAGAAAATTCTACTACTCTTGTATTTATATAAAATTGGAGTATCTAATTTATTTAGCTATGTCTTCTCTGCTAAAGCCTCAAGGACACTAGCCACCTTTGTCATTATAGGGAAATCAGATGAATCTCAGAATTTTTCCTTAGAGGCCATGTAATTGATCTACCTTACAATACTTACCATTTCCATATCATGCAGTTTAGCCTTTAGTTGTAAATTCTCTTTTTCTAATTCATGTAATTTATCAGAACGAGCTCGAGTTCCTTCTAATTGGTCTTCCAACATAGTTTTTGTTTCTAATAAAACTTGATTGTCTTCTTTTAATTCCTATAAATATTTCAAATAGGCTTTATCACAAACATGTTAATATCTGTTAATTTTTTAAAGCTCTGAAAAACATGAAAATTCTTTATTGTAAAATAAGACATTAAGCTGTCTTTAAGAACAATTCTATGCAAGAGTAAAGCTACTGAGTAATAGAAATACAGTTGACATTTCTTGGCTTCATTTTTTCCCCCAGAATTTAAGCTATTATGTAAAGAAAATAGTCAGTACTTATATTAGGATGAGTAATACTACTATAATTTCACATAAAATTGTCAGGGTATATTTAAATTCCTTAGCCACAAGGATAGGGAACTAAGTTTAAGTAGTTTTCCAGATATTTAAGACACAACGTTTCCAAGAATCTGGGCTTAATTTATTTGCTAATAGATTTAAAAATTTCTCTCTACTTAAACTATAACTTGAAAAGGAAGGGTTTGGAGTTTTTGAGTAAAATAACACGACTTTAATGAAAACTCATATAAATCATAAACCAAGGCTCCTTCCTTCTTTTCCCCATTCTGAAATTGACCAAGATCTCCTCTGTGTACAGACAATGAGGAAATTAACTGAGAAAGCAAAAAGGAATGCAGATGCAATGATTGTCAAACTCAACTTCATGTAACACTGAACAGCAACCATTAAATAGGAAAAATTGTTTTTTTCTGATTTGTTTATATATACACATAAAGAGATATAAATTTGTTTATATTTATATATTTATAAAGAGAGACAGAAGCACCTTCGTTGATCCTAATCTAGTATTCAGAGTTGAGTAGTGATCAGAAGAAACAGGTTTTGCTTTCACTTCTAGAAACAAGTTTGAAATCAGTAGAGATACTTTATTTTTTTTTTATTTTTTTTTTTTAAAGATTTTATTTATTTATTTTTTCCCCCCAAAGCCCCAGTAGATAGTTGTGTGTCATAGCTGCACATCCTTCTAGTTGCTGTATGTGGGACACGGCCTCAGCA